CAACCCAGGAGTTACCAAAGATGGCAGTTAGAAAGAGGTGGGGAAGGAGCTTCCGACCAACAAATGATTTTCCCCTAAACCTTTTCTCACCACGAGGCTGTTGAAAAAAGAACATGGATACCCCTTTCTAGCCAATCCCCATCCACTACCGGAAACCACTATTTTTTAAAATAGAATTTCTTTTTTATTGCTCCTCCCTCCCACTTATTTATTTTTATTTTATCTGAAAGGCAGAGAAACAGAGCAAGACAGACATAGAGTGAGCTTCCATCTGCTGGTTTATTCTTAGTCCCCAAATGCCTGCAACAAGTCAGGGCTGGGCCAGCCTGAAGGCAGGAGCCTGAAACTCCATCCAGGTCTCCCACATGGGTGGCAGGGACTGACTTAAGCCATCAGCTGCTGCCTCCCGGGGCGCACATTAGCAGGAAGCAGGAGTTGGGAACAGAGCCAGGACTTGAGCTAAGTACTGTACAGTGGAGGGCGGGCATCCCAAGCAGTGAACTCACAGCCATGCCGCAGGCCAGTGCCCCCAGACAACCACTCCTGTCTCGTGTCATCATCCATTACTTTTCTTTCCTATTGTAGATTCAGACACTGTGTATTTTTTATTTACTTTCATTCCATGAGATTTATATATATATATATATACACACACACACATATAATATACACACATATGCACATTCGTGTTGTGTTTTGTATGCATATCATCAAGCTATATTCCTTGTTGCTGAGCGATGTTTCTTTGTATAAATATACCCCAATTTGTTCATCTATTCTCCTCTTGGTGGGCATTTGAGCTGTTTCCAGTGTGCAGGTAATATGAATAAGTTTGCTGTGAGCATTTGTATATAGCTTTTTGCAGATAAATGCTTTCACTTAGAGTGAATAAGTCCCTCAGATGAAGTTCCTGGGTTTTATAGGACAAGTGTGTTTAGCTCAAGTTTTTAGATGTTTTGCATATGAGTCATTTATGAGGTCCATAATTTTTACTTTTGGTGAGGTCCAGTATATCGTTTTTTAAAAAAGATTTTATTTATTTGAAAGTCATAGTTACACAGAGAAGGAGAGGCAGAGTGAGTGAGTGAGAGAGAGAGAAAGAGAGAGAGATCTTCCATCGCTGGTTCACTCCCCAGATAGCTTCAACAGCCAGAACTGTGCCGATCCAAAGCCAGGAGCCAGGAGCTTCCTCCAGGTCTCCCACGGGGGTGCAGGGGCCCAAGGACTTGGGCGATCTTCCACTGCTTTCTCAGGCCACAGCAGAGAGCTGTATTGGAATTGGAACAGCCGGGTCTCAAACCGGCGCCCATATGGGATGCTGGTGCTTCAGGCCAGGGTGTTAACCCGCTGCACCACAGCACCAGCCCCAAACTAATCTTATAACGATTATTTTTGCTAGTCTTGACTTTTTTTTTGAGTGTTTTCATCTGCTTGAGTCAGCGGAGGGAGTGGTGTCTTCCATCCCCTAGCACAGCCAGGAGCCTGGAATTCTCTCCAGAACTCCCAGTGGGTGGCAGAGCCCCAGGCCCTTGAACCATCATCTGCTGCTTCCTGAGCTGCATTAGCAGGAAGCTGGATCAGAAGCAGAGTCACTGAGAGGCAAACTAGTACTTTGGTGTGGGCTGTAGGCATTGCAAGAACCACACGGAACCACAATGCCCACTCTAGACCTCATCCAAAGATTGTGTTTCTATTCTAGAGCCTTCATGTGTCCTCACAAGTTTTAGAAGACCTGGCAGTTCCAGAATCTGTAGTGTGGGGAGGATGAATGATACCCTCCTACAGTCCATGGACATAGTATAGTTCTTCATGTAGTTAGGTCTCAGCAAAGTTGAGTGGTTCATAGCGGGGTCTTGCATGTCTTTCATAAGATGTATTCCTTGCCTTGATATTTTTTGATTCTGCCATCAAAGTATTTAAAACATTAAAATATTAAAAATGTTATTTCTCAGTAAAATTAAAAGTATTATTTCTCAAGTGTTTCTTGCCAAAGTGTAGAAATTCAGCTGGTCCTATGTGTTGACTGTGTATCATGTGACCCCAATAAGTTAGCATATTGGCTCTGTTAGCAGTTTTCTTAAAGTTCCATGGAGTCTTCTACGTACATGGTAGCATTGTCTATGGATAACAGCAGATGCAATCTTTATCTTGCGTTATGCCACTAAGTAGGAGTTCAGATGCAAAACTGAATATGCGTGATGAAGGCAGGCATCATTCCTTGTTTCCAGTGTTAGCAGAGAAAGAGTTAGTGTTTCACCAGGAAGCAGGATGCTAGTTACAGGTTTTCATAGGTCTCTTTCCTCAGATGGAAGCTGCTATGTGCTATTCTTGATTTGCAGAGAAATTGTATTACTCAGAGGTGTTGAACTTCGCTGAATGTTGTTTTTCTGCATCCGTGACGTGATCACGTGCCTTTCCTCCATTCCTCTGTCAGGGTGAGGAGTGACATTGACATTTTTCCTGAGGTTAAACCAACCATGCTTTCCTGAGAGAAACTCAGTTGTTGGTCAGGATGCATGATCCTTTGTATTTATTGCTAGATTTCATTTGCTCATAATTTGTTAGTGAGTTTGCATCTCTGTGAGGGATATTGGTCTCACATTTTTCTTCTAATGTTTTTGTCAGGTTTGCTATCAGGATTATGCAAATCTTATAAAATAAGTTGAGAACTATTCCCTAATCCTGTTTTCTGTAAGAATTTGTGTAAGATTGGTATGACTTCTTCCTTAAATTTTTGTTGGAAATCACTTGTAGAACTATCTGGGCCTGGAGGTTTTGCTTTGTTTTTTTTTTTTTTTTATAAGGTTCATTATTACAGTTTCTTAATTAGTATAGACTAAGGTTTTCTATTTCTTCTTGCGTCTGTTTTGGCAAGTTGTGTTTTGGTAAGGTAGAGGAGATGGCATAAAGCTATTCACAGTATATCCTTAGTAACCTGGAAATATCTGTAGGATTTGTAGTGATGTCCCCTTTTTAATTTTTTTTTTTAAGATTAGAGTTATACATAGAGAGGGGAGAGAGAGAAAGAGTGAGAGAGACAGACAGACAGATAGAGGTATCTTCCATCTGCTGGTTCACTCCCCAGTTGGCCACAGTGGCCAGAGCTGGGCCAGTCTGAAGCCAGGAGCCAGGAGGTTCCTCCGGGTCTCCCACATGGGTGCAGGGGCCCAAGGACTTGGGCCATCTTCCACTGCCTTCCCAGGCCATAGCAGAGAGCTGGATCTGAAGTGGAGCAGCCGGGACTTGAACTGGCACCTGTATGGGATGCCAGCACTACACGCGGCAGCTTTACCCACTCCGCCACAGTGCTGGCCCTCCCTTTTTAATTCTTGAAAATAATATTTCTCTTGATCAGTCTTACTAGAAAAATTAAAAGTTTGTTAATCTTTTCAAAGAATCAACATTCACTTTTGTGAAATGTTTTTCTGTTCACTGTTTCACTGATTTCCACTCTTATTTTTATTATTACTCTAGAAAACTAAGATGTATTCTGAAACAAAGAAGTCACGGAACAGATTTTAGTGTTCTGGAATTTGTCATCATGTATTCCTGCTACAGCTCACTTCCATTTAACACAGACAGATCATAACTACCAGCCATTAGGTCTTAGTATGAAGTTGGGGATGAACTTTTCTCTATATGTGATTTTGAAAAGCCCATGCTAAAGATTATCCTATTTATCAAATGATAATCTAATGATTTGGCCATCTTTTTAACTGTTTTTTATTGATTTTGTTTTTTAAGCCAGACCTTTTTCTGTTTTAATGTGTAGAATTTTAAAAATATAATAGCTTTATCTGATTTATTATCTGCCTGAGGACTATAGCAAAAAGTAACTTCTCAAGGAAATATACCTTTTGATCTGAGATAATGATTAACAAGCCATACTTACACATACAGTGTTTATGTAACAGCGCAGCCAGGAATTCCAAGAAAATCAATTCTTTTTCCAGTTTCTTTTGTAAGTCCACCAACAATCAAAATCAGACCCTCAGCTCATATGTGAAACAATCTGATGAGGTAGATCTCGTCGTCTACTAGGGACTTTGTCCCATGGACTCCTTACAATCTTCCTAGGTGTTGTAGGGACAGAAGGGCTGTTTGCTGTAACTCTGCAGAGAGAAGTTTCTGCCCACAACAGCTAGGAATCTGGCGCGGCTGGGAGTACACTCCCGCAGCCGCCTGCAAACTCGTCCCTTCTCTGTCCTCAGAGATGGTGATTACCTCTGTCCCCTCCCGACTTCCCATGGGTGACACAGGACAGTGGAGGGCGTGGTCCCTGGAGAACCAGCCTGCAAGCCACCCCCCTTAAGCCTCATTCAATGTAGAATCTTCATAAAAAGCAAAGGGACACAAAGAAAGCCTTCGCCATCATCCTCCGTTTCAGTATGGCCCAGGGTGGAGCATTTAAAAGCAGATGCCTTCTGAAAAACCATTCGATGATGTCCCCTTGCCATTTTTCTTTGGGTGGGAATTCGAGCATTAGCTCCCTCCTTGCCAGGGAGAGGTTTGGAGTAGAACCTCCTTAGCAGTGCTCAGTGGGGTATGGGTTTGGCATTAAAGGGGGCATTTTATTAGTGGGACCCCGGGAAGCAGCAGCTGCAGTATCCATGTGACCAGGGACTCGGCCTCTGACCAACTTTGTCACGTCCGCGACTCTAGGCACGTGTGGCCGAGAGACACGGACGGGAAAACTTGGGGCTGCTTCCGGTAGCATCTTTCTGCTCTGTCCTTGGAATTCACCTGCCGATCTGCGCAGGTCTCGGCCGGCCTCTCGGATTCATCACAGATTTGCGCAGACTTGAATAACTCGGTCTGAACTGACCACCAAGGGTGATCCATGGCCAACTTGGCTCATCTACTTCTTCTTGAAGTGACTGAGATTAAAGAAGCAGTGTTTAAAAAAAAATGCATGGATTGCCTGTCCAGCATGGCCCGGCCTCACGAGACTTCCCTCACCGTGGTTTTGTTTTTGTTTTTGTTTTTGTTTTGTTTTTTAGGCTACAACTGAGGTGGAAATTAAGAAGAAAGGCCCTGGGTCTCTTTTAGTCTCCATGGACCAATTGGCTTCCTATGGAAGGAAAGACAGAATTAACAGTATAATGAGTGTTGTTACAAATACTCTGGTAGAAGGTAAGTGCACCGGGGTGTTGGCCGTCCACACTGCTGGTGTAAATATGTATAGTGTGACCAGTAAACCAAATCCCAGCCCCTTGTCTGAGCTTTGCAAAAACGGCCCCTGGGCTTTTGGCACAGATCCTATTGAGCATAGCAACCAAGACCATGAATTTTTTTCCCAAATCTAAGTGCAGACAAATAAAATCTTTGCCTCTGCTGCTGCCAGCCTCACACACAGATTGTGAGACGTTTGTGGCACAGAGGGTTGAACGACCACTTGTGACATCCGCATCCCATGTCGCAGCTGCTTCCTTCCCATCCAGCCCCCTGCTAATGCACCTGGGAAGGTAACAAGAGATGCCCTGAGTGCCTGAGCCCCTGCCACCCTATAGGAGAACCAGATGGAATTCCAGGTTCCTAGTTTCGGCTTGGTCCATCCCCAGCTGTTGCAGGTATTTGGGGAGTGAACCAGTAGATAGAAGAGATTCTCTCTCTTTTTTTCTCTCTCTCTCTCTCTCTCTCTCCCTCTCCCCCCCCCCCATTTTGTCTTGCAAATAACTCTGTTTTTTCAGAAAATGAAAGAGACTTAAAAAAACTACAGAGATAGAAATGATGGAGTTGCCCTGTGGCCAAACCCCAAAACACAGCCTTCCTCTTTTCCTTTGTAACTCCTTCACAGCCTTTTGATTTTTCCCTTCAGGAGAAATGCGCTGTGTGTGTCGATTGCACCTAATTCTGTCTCTCTTCAAACACCCCCACATCTCCATAAATATATTTGATGTGTGACTAGGCAGGCGGCTGCTCCTCTTGTCCCAGACGCTCGGTGCCACGACAGAAAAGCAGCCACAGTGGGAACGAGTACGTGCGTGGTGACACCGGCATTGGTGCCTGCGTTCTCGGCACTGAAGACCTTCCCCGAGCACAGAGCTGCCCTCCCTCCCGTGGGGTCTTGCAGCCCGGGCTCCTCTTGCCTTACTGGGTAGTAAACTCAGCAGCTGGGCTGTCTCTCTCACAAGATCACGGCTGACGCTGCTTGCGTCCCCTTTCATCCAAGCCACAGAGGTTCAGCTGAGTTGTCCTGTTGTGGGTTCAGACACCCAGGCCATCCCAGTGACAGCCAGAGGCCTTCAAATGGGGAAACTCAAAATTATCCTGGTGTCATTTCAGCCCGACACCACTCCCACTCCATACAGAGGAAGGGGCAGGAATCCCTCGACAGGAGCTCCCTGGGGCTGTTTATACCCCCCACAAATGCACAAGAAATGAGACCACAATTGCACCCATCTTGTGAAACTACGGAGCACAAAGAATACAGAACTCAGGCTTCCAGCTGCCTGACAAGCTCCAGTCTTTGCCGTTTTCATTTGCTCCCGTTGAGGTCTTTGTCCAGTAGAGCCTCTTCCAGCTTGGCCGCTGAGCCTTGGAGAGTGCAGACAAATAACTACAGATTGCAGAATTCCAAGCTAAGAAACCCTAGCTCAAGAACCGCAGCTAATTCTGTCACTCACTTGGAGATGGACACAGGATTCCTCCCGGGTATTTATGGCAGTTGAGAAAGCAAAACCCACAGCCTCTAACGGGTACATGTTGTTATTGCTGGAGACATCAGGACGGGAGAGCCATGCTGCAATGCAATGGTTATTTGTCGGTTGCTACGCTGGCTGGCAAAGGGAGATGTCCAGACTCTTGCCAAATTGAACTTGGCCGCTTTTGGAGCAGTGGGGGAGTGTTGGCACTGCAAGGATCCCTTTGGGGGGCCTTGGAGCTCCCCTCCCTCTGCTGAATTGGATACCATTGGGGCATTTTAAAAATTTTCTCTTCTTCTTCTTCTGCCCATCCTCCACTTGGTCTTTCTCTCCTGCTGGCAAGGAGTGGCTGGACTCAGGGACACAAGGAAGGACGTATTCCTCTTTAACTGTTGGTCCCAGGCTTGCTGCAACGTTAAAAGCCAACGTTAAACAGTGAGGAAGCTCTGATGTGATTTCAACCCAGAGTCCAGAAGAATTATTTTTTAAAGCCAAAGAAGCAGGCTCCTGCTCTCCACGGCAGAGAATCTCAGAATCCTGCAAATAAATGAGAAGTGTTGCAGACATGTTCACCACGATCCAGTAATCTCGGGAGCATCATAGCCGACAAAGCCATTTGCTTTGGGGTTTGCTCAGCGGGCCAGGGCTGGGACGCGGGCACAGAGCCATACAGCCAGGGAGGAAGAGCAGTGAGGGCACTCGGAGCAGGGACAACTCCATCCTCAGTGCCTGGTAGATGTGTAAAACGTGAATGGAATGGAGCAAAGCACCTGCCCAGGGAGAACAGGGGGCCTCCCTGCTCTGCCTTCGTGCAGAACAGATGGCTCCCCAAAAAACCAACTTCCAGGACGTCCAAGACCTACAGGGTGGTGTCCGTGAGAGCAGTCCCAAAGCCCTGGACAGCCCCATCTGCTAATCCACTGCCCACTGCTGGCGCGGGGCGCGGGGAGTGGTTCTCAAAGGTTGTCTTCCCCCAGCTGCTGGTGGGGCTGGCCCCTGCAGCGCCACGTGGTCTCTCTTTGTGTGGGATATGCCGCATCACCCCAAGGGTCCTCCCCTTCTCCGCTAGCGTGGGTTAGAAATACCCCAGTCCCCCTGAAGGAATCTCCTAAGTGCCTTGGGGCGTGGGAGTGCCCCTGCCTGATGGTTCACTGTCAAACAGTACGATGGTGTCCGCACAGTCAAAGCCTCAGCAAACGCCCAGGGAAGGGAGGAGATGGAAGACAGAGTGGAACCAGGTTCCCAAATATGTACTGTAAGAATTTATAGAAATAAGAGAACCTTTGCATTTTCTTTTTTTGGGGCAGGGGGGAGAAAACTAAATTTACCTTGGGGAGAGGGATCCTATGAGGAAGCAGCCAAAGTGAATTCTCCTTCACAGACCTCCTTTTCCCACGCAGACTCCCACGTGGCGCTTGCCGTGGCCCTTCCATCCTGGAAACCAAGGCAACCGTTTTCCTAGCAACCAGGGAGCCAATCAGAAGCCCAGCCCAAGTCACCCCGTCTAAAATAAAGCCATCACCTGGGCACCATCCAGCTGGCTGGGAGAAGGGAAGGTAGACTAATGTAAGACAGCCTCTTCTCGGTGAAATGTTAGGAGTTTGTACCAAAAAAAAAAAAAAAAAAGTTTTTGTTTGTTTCTCACTTCACTTGAAAGTCAGCGAGACACAGACGGACTGAGAGATCTTCTATCTGTTGGTTCACTCCCCCAGTGCCGGGCCAGGCCAAAGCCAAGGAGCCTGGAACTCAGTCCGGGTCTCCCACATGGGTGGCAGGGAGCCAGCCACCTGAGCCAGGCTCCCAGGAGGTACTTTGGCAGGAAGCAATCAGGCGCTCTGATAATGGAATGCAGGCATCCCGAGCTGTAGATTGACCACTGCGCCCTCTGCTGTACAAACATCTCCTCGCTTACTCCTCAGTCAAACCCATGGAACCTCCTTCAGGGAGCTTATAATTTAGTCCCAGGACCTATGAAGTGTTGAAGCCGGGTTAAGCCCAGGGAGTCAGGCTCAGAGGCCAAGCTCCTAACCTGGGGACTGGAGATCCCTATAACTGAGGGTCAAGTTCTCCTACAGCTACTTCATTCTCAACATTGAAACAGCAGTGGCGGTGGCCAGGGAGGCCCGGCCTGGGTCTCCTGTGTTTTTCTCACTGTGATTGACAGCTGTCTTTTTGTTCTTCACTCACTACAGAGCTGGAAGAGTCTCAGAGAAAGTGCCCGCCATGCTGGTACAAATTTGCTAACACGTTCCTCATCTGGGAGTGCCACCCATACTGGATAAAACTAAAAGAGATTGTGAACTTGATAGTCATGGACCCTTTCGTGGACTTAGCCATCACCATTTGCATTGTGCTGAACACACTATTCATGGCCATGGAGCACCACCCTATGACACCGCAGTTTGAACACGTCTTGACTGTAGGGAATCTGGTAAGTGGGTTGTGCTGTGGACACGTTCCACCTGCAGCACGCCTCTCCCTGCTCCTCCACTCTGGAGCTTGGTGGAAGACAGACATATCCCACATAGGCCCGGCACCGCTCAGCTGTTTCCTGCTTCTGCAGAACTTGAAGGTGTCATGGAGGAGCTGTTGGCAGGGATCCGACCACGGTGACAGAATGAGAGGCACAGCACAGTGGCTTGGTTTCAACTGCTGAGCCAGGGACTTCTGGATTTTTTTTTCTCATTCTGGTTCTTAAATGGATTCCTGCAAATTGCTCCAGCAAATCTCTCCCTCCTTTCACCTTAATTAAGAACCACTGCAAAACAGGGAGCTCCTAGTGCATTCACTGGTAGCCCTGTGCATGCCCGCACCGTCACCTCTTCATTATCCAGATGGGAGCTATTTGTGAGAAATCGAAAATTCTATTCCAACTTCTGGGCCATCACCCAGTTTTTGCCATTAGTTGATCTGGGCCAGGCTTATTTTAATGTTAGCTGAAGTCATACTTTTAATTTGTCGTATCATTTAGAAGCATGCAGTTTCTAAAGATTAGATTATACAGTGTGTTCCAGAGTCAAATAGTTGTGAGCATTGTTTTATGTTCCTTCTTTAGTACAAAAATCAGGAGTTCATTGAGTTTTGATGGGTTGAATAATTGGCTGATTGAATTTTTTTAAAGATTTATTTATTTATTTGAAAGAGTTACAGAGAGACAGAAGCAGAGAGAGACAGGTCGGGGTGGGAAGTCTTCCACCCGCTGGTTCACTCCCCAAATGGCCGCAGCAGCTGGAGCTGCGCCAATCTGAAGCCAGGAGCCAGGAGCTTCCTCTGGGTCTCCCACATGGGTGCAGGGACCCAAGGACTTGGGCCATCTTCTACTGCTTTCCTAGGCCATAGCAGAGAGCTGGATCGGAAGAGGAGCAGCCAGGACTCGAATTGGTGCCCACATGGGATGCTGGTGCTGCAGGCAGCAGCTTTACCCGCTGCGCCACAGCGCCAGCCCTGACTGATTGAATTTTGATGGTTGCTAGAGTTGTTTGAATGCTGAGGGACTCATGGCATTGATGGGATTTCCATAGGCTGCAGAGTTAATTGGGCCAAGTCCTCTAGGTCATTCTGGGCCTCGTTCTTCCCCAGGAGTCACAGCCTGGTGTCTTCAGTCCTAGCTGTTGCCATTTCCTTTGAGTAGGATCTCTGCCCAGTGCCAGTGTGTGTGTGCACGCTCTCTCTCTCTCTCTCTCTCACACACACACACACACACACACACACACACACACACACGAGTCCTGGAGACACTTACAAAGCATTGCAACATCATTGCTAGTTCGAATTCTGAAAGCACAGACCCTGCACCCGATTAGGCCTTGTAATGTTCTCTGGCTCCCATCCTAGATGGTTCTACACTCCTTCCCATCTGGGGTTGGGCACCTGCCCCAGCCTCACTGCCGCCCCGCGAGACACCTGCCTTCTCTGGAACACGCTGCTCCCGCAGGCTACCCGGCTCCTAGCAGTGCCTGTGGGTGGGTGCGCTGTATGATGCCTGACACTGGCACAGGGCCTGGGCCATGGAGTCTAACCAAAAGCCCATCCGCAATGCCCCCACATATAAGCTTCATACTGTTACCCAGGAGTTAAAGCAGTGAGAAACGTGACATCATAAACTGTGGTGCTGATGGTGGCATTTTCCCCGGAGAGCTGGGTTTTTCCTTTAAGTCTCTACTCGTCCTCGCCGCCACAGAATCAGTCCTTGCTTCCTGTGGTGTTTTGAGAGACCTTGCTGCCCAGTGGCAGCTACTGTGCCCTCGGACCAGGCTGGCTCACAGTGGTATGTTTCCCTGTCTTAAAAAGGCCCAGAGGGGCCAGCGCTGTGGCGTAGTGGGTAAAGCGCCGCCTGCAGTGCCAGCATCCCATATGGGCACCAGTTCAAGTCCCAGCTGCTCCACTTCTGATCCAACTCTCGCTATGGCCTGGGAAAGCAGTAGAAGATGGCCCAAGTCCTTGGGCCCTTGCACCCACATGGGAGACTTAGAAGAAGCTCCTGGCTCCTGGCTTCGGATCTGCACAGCTCTGGCCATTGCGGCCATCTCGGGAGGGAACCAGCAGCTGGAAGACCTCTCTCTCTGTCTCTACCTCTTTCTGTAAGAAAGAGAGGTCTTCCAGCTGCCGGGTCACTCCCCAGTTGGCCCACGCAGGTGCAGGGGCCCAAGGACTTGGGCCATCTTCTACTGCTTTCCCAGGCCCTAGCAGAGAGCTGGATTAGAAGTGGAGCAGCTGAGTCTCAAACCAGCATCCATATGGGAGGCCAGCACTGCAGGCAGTGGCTTTACCCGCCATGCCACAGCGCCGGCCCCATGAATAAATCTTTTAAAAAGGAAAAGAAAGAAAGCCAGAAAAGTCTCAGGCCAGTAGGGATGATTTGGTCGCCCTGCCCCCGGCGAGTGAGTGAGTTATCATGGCCACTGCTTTTTTCAGGTCTCCACTGGCACTTCCTGAGCCCTGGGGGAGGGCCCGCCATAGAACAGGAGCCCCCATTCCAAGAATACAGCAAGAACCGTGCCACACCCTGGTTATTCCCAGTGAAGCCCACACTGTGCAGATGCAGTTAATGCAGAAGGAGGGGTACTGCTGCTCCCTGCCCTGCTGCAGCCCCAGGGCAACCTCCAAGCAAAGCACCCCAGGGCACTGGCTGTGAATTCAGAATGTTCTATTAAAACAGGGTCTCGATTGATATGTAGTCTCAAGACCTCTGTAATCTCTTAAAAGAGCTAGAGCTTTGGTTTATGTGGGTTATATCCACTGATATTCACTTTTTAAATGATCTCCCTGATAATGATCTCTGATTAAGAGATCATTTAAAAGTATCCACTTATTTATTTTTAAATCATGATACTATACCATTATGCATTGAACATAAATAACACGTATGGAAAAAAATTATATCTAAGACAAAGACAGAAGCATGGGAGGATTTGCCATTTTTTCAAATCCCTTTCGGGTCTTGTGTGTGTCTGTGTGTGTGTAAGATTTATTTATTTTACTTGAGAGTCACAGTTATACAGAGAGAAGGTGAGGCAGAGAGACAGAGAGAGAGGTCTTCCATCCACTGGGTACTTCCCAAACAGCCACAATGGCTGGAGCTGAGCCGATCCGAAGCCAGGAGCCAGGAGCCCCTCAGGGTCTCCCATGCGGATGCAGGGGCCCAAGGACTTGGGTCATCTTCCACTGCCTTCCCAGGCCATAGCAGAGAGCTGGATCGGAAGTGGAGCAGCCAGGACTCAAACCAGCGTCCATACAGTTGCAATCACTGCAGGCAGCAGCTTTACCCACTATGCCACAGCACTGGCCCTGTTGGATCTGTTTTAATAGGAGATAACTAGACCCCCTTACCTGCTTCTGCACTCAGTCCATCGTGTAGGGAGAAAAGCTGGCCTCATATGGATATGTAGTGGGAAAGGGGAGGACCGGGTGGGGGTCTTAGGGCCCCCAGGGACCCTCAACTGCCCTTCGAGAAGAGCTAGAACATAAATTCTCAAGTGAGTATTTGACAACAGTCCTGTGTGATTGCTAATACATCACTTTTCATTCTTCCTTCTTCCTTCTCCAAAATCATCATCACAGTGCAAATGAGAGCAGCCCCCTAGGGATAACCTTTGATCCACTCTTTAAAAAAATAAGATTATTATTTATTTATTTCAAAGGCAGAATTACAGAGAGGCAGAAAGAGAGTTCACTCCCCAGTTGGTCACAACGGCCGAAGCTGCACCGATCCGAAGCCAGGAGCCAAGAGCTTCTTCCAGGTCTCCCATGCAGGGGCCCAGGGACTTGGACCACCTTTTACTGCTTTCCCAGGCCATAGCAGAGAGCTGGATCAGAAGTGGAATAGCTGGGACTCGAACCAGCACCCACATGGGATGCTGGCACTGCAGGCAGTGGCTTTACTTGCAACGCCACAGCACCAGCCCCTCTTCTATGATTTTGAATGAGAGACCCCACAGCATATATCTAGGCTTCATAATACATGTAATAAGTCAGAAATAATACTGTATTTTTCTGTTCCAATTATAATACCATGAGTAAGCTTTTTTTTTTTTTTTTTTAACACAGACATCCCTAGCACACACCTACAAATAACTGCCAATTCCTAAGTCATCTGGGTGGTATTGTTCTTGCTTAGCATATGTTTTTTTAGGATTTAATTATTATTCGAAAGGCAAAGTTACAGAGAGAGTTCTTCCATCTGCTGATTCATTCCCCCAAATGACCACAACGGCCAGGGCTGGGCCAGGCTGCAGCCAGGAGCCAGGAACTCCATCCAGGTCTCCCACATGGATGGTAGGAGCCCAGACACGTGGGCCATCTTCTACTGCTTTCCCGGATGCATTAGCAGGGAGCTGGATGGGAAGTGGAGCAGCCAGGACTCAACCTGACCCCTAAATGAGATGTTGGCATCGCAGGCAACGGCTTAAACCCACTGCACCACAATGCTGGCCCCAAATGTTTTTCTGACCTTTCTTTGGAACAGTGTGAATTGAGTGGTTCTGGCAACAGAAAATGGGGACAGTGGGGCTGGGGCTTCCATTCAAGATGCAAGTGAGTTTCCAGCTGATAGAACCCATCGTGTCTGAGGAGCCCGGGTGCTGTTTCCCCCAACTCCGGCCATTGTGCGGGATACGCCTGTGTCAGAGGCTGATCGTCTACCCAGAAATAGGCACATCCAGTGCACTGTCAATTACAAACTCTTTCAACTTTTATTAATATTTTTAATTCCAAGGAGTAGAAAAGAGAGAAATAAAGAGACTTTCCCGCCTCCCATGGGGTGCTCGGGGTGGGGACCCAGGATCAGCCACAGTCCTCAGATGCAGAGTTTAACCACAGCTGGCCCGTGAGCTTTCTCGGACGTCTGGGTTCAAAGAGAATGACAGAGGTGTTCTTTTCTCTATTATCTCTCTCTCTCTCTCCTTCCTCCTCCCACCCCCGTCCCCCTTGTCCCACCCCCTCTTTAGGTTTTCACTGGAATTTTCACAGCGGAAATGTTCCTGAAGCTCATAGCCATGGACCCCTACTATTATTTCCAAGAAGGTTGGAACATTTTTGACGGATTTATTGTGTCCCTCAGTTTAATGGAACTGGGTCTAGCGGACGTGGAGGGGCTTTCGGTGCTGCGATCTTTCCGATTGGTATTCCATATTTCTCCACTTTCTTTCACTATTGCTAGCTTGCAGCTACTAGAAAGAGTTTGTGTATAAGTTAGCTTGATGATTCCTTAACGCCCTTACCCTGTAATTCTCTCAATTCCGCTTGGCTGTTTGGAACTGGCTTGGCTACTACTAAAAATCCTGACAGCATTCCTGCTGACCACCTAACGTAGAAGTTCATTTTAAGACTCTGTAAGCAAACGGGAATGACTTTAGGACGCAAACGATGCTTAGAGATAACGCTTATTCTAGAAGCCGAAGGAGGATTCCCACAGGCCTTGCGTTGGTAGTCCGGTTTGATTTCCCGGGGAACCGTTGCCATACCTGTCTCCCTAGAGTGGCAGTGGTCACTCTCCCATTCCTTGCTGCTCTGTCATCGTAACCCCTTCCAGAAAATCAGAATCAAATCGTGTTTTTTAACATTATGTTGAAATGGATTGTCGTATGGTGTGGCCTTATTTTTTGTATTATTAGCTAAGAAGGATTTATTATTATTATTATTATTATTAATGTATTTGAAGGAGGCCTGGGCCTGGGCTGGTTGAGTCCCTGGAGAAGCTCCAGGCTTCTTCAGGCTGCCCACTCAGACCAAACTCTCTGCTGCTTCCTGGGTGGCAGAGCTGGCTTACGTCTCTCCAGCCTCCTGGGAAAACACCCAGCCCCTTGCAACACCAAGGCACTGAGCAGATCTGAGAGAGAATCGGAACAGAGGGCCACTTTGTAAAATGCGCCAGTGTCACTTGTTCCGGGTCGCAGATAGCATCTGGCTGATTTCTGGAACCTCCGCCTACTGTTCCATGGCTGCGATCCAGCCTACTTTTTAAGAACAGTTTTCGTTATTTCAGTGACAAGAAGGGAGGGTTGAGAGATAAAGCCTTAGAACAGATATGCTCATTGACGTACAAACCAGTCAGGGAAAAGGAGACAGGCGACCCCAGTAAATGTCGAACTCTCAGATGGAAGACTCCGATTTTCAAATAGAGGAGAACCGCTCCAGGCAGCGCTGTCGCCTTCTACCAAAATCCTTGTCACCGTGTGTATCAGCTATGTGTTAACTCGTGGTATCTGCCATAACCATTGGCTGAGCCACCGTGGCCTTTTACGCTCTGCCAGGCCATTAGCCAAGACCTTGTCGTCACCGTGGCAGAGTACATGCCCTCTGAGTTAGTGACCGTATTGGCCCTTTTCCTAAGAAGTTTGAGCTCCATGGCCCTCCCCCCGATCCAGAACTCTGCTTTTTCCTCCACGTTATCCCGAGCATGTCAATGCACTTTCAAATCAGCAAAAGGGAGACATTTCAAATTTTTTTGAAATGCTTGCTTTTTTATTTTTTTTTAAGAGACAGATGACTTTTTTCCCCACTCCCCTTCGACAAGGCTGTTGGGAAGGCCAGGGCCCGCCAGCTGGGAGAGGATGTGTGCACATTTAGGTTCTGGGACTTAAGGTCCATGTAATCCCAGGAGGTTGGAGGCAGCATTCCTGCCTCCTACTTGTAAACGTTTCGCTTCCTATGAAACCCGTCGGTTTTCCCTTACCTAAGTTCTCCCCGCTTGAGCCTGAGCCAGTCAGCAACATCCTGGGACTCTTCCCGACACTGCAGCTTGTACCAGTCTAGTCGTCTTTGTTTTCCCGCGTGCTGAGAGAGTGCATCGACTGGCATTTAGCATCCCTCCTCTTGTCTCCTTCTCCCTTAGCTTCGAGTCTTCAAGTTGGCCAAGTCCTGGCCCACGCTGAACATGTTGATCAAGATTATTGGGAATTCCGTGGGCGCCCTGGGCAACCTGACCCTGGTGCTGGCCATCATAGTCTTCATCTTTGCCGTGGTCGGGATGCAGCTCTTCGGAAAGAGCTACAAGGAGTGCGTGTGCAAGATCAACCAGGACTGCGAGCTGCCCCGCTGGCACATGCATGATTTCTTCCACTCCTTCCTCATCGTCTTCCGGGTGCTGTGCGGGGAGTGGATCGAGACCATGTGGGACTGCATGGAGGTGGCCGGCCAGGCCATGTGTCTCATCGTCTTCATGATGGTCATGGTGATTGGCAACTTGGTGGTTAGTACAGACCTTGTGCCTGTTTTGGTTTTCTGCCCTTGGCTCGGAAGCCCTGCCCTCAACCCCCAGCCCCGTCCGTCTCCTGCTTTCCCTGTCTATTGATTTTTTTCTTCTTGCCCAGTCCCTGGGGGGCCCTAAGGTACAAGTGACAGGGAGGAGCCCAGTGCTTACAGAGCTCCGACTCATGACCCCTGCCCCCCACACACACACTTTTCACAATTAGAACAACAACAAACCTGAGCAGAAGTCAGGAGACCTTCCTTCCCCAAGATCACATGGCTGCCATTGTGTGCACAGGGTGTGCACTTGAACTTGGACTTCAAAGTCTGCTCTTGGAGCTCCAAAAAAACCCCCTTTTACCCAAACCAGATAATCTCGACCTTGGCACTGCTGACGTCCTCGGCTGGATAATTCTCCGCTGTGGGGCCGTCCTGGGCATTGTAGGATGCCATTAGCATCACCCACGCTGGGACGACCAGAAATGTCTCTAGAAAGTGCCCAAAGGCCCCCTGGGGAGCACAGGCTGCCCACCAGTGAGAACCACCTGATCACTGATCCAAATCATCTTTGGGTTTGTATCTGTGTAAACAGCAAATCAGTTCCTGGCTTTGTTGGGGTCTGTCCGCCCGCTGTCTTCTACCTCGAGAGCCAGCATTGGGGACGCGGCACCTCGTCGAAGTGCAATCCGGGGACCAGCAGCCATGAGCTGTGGACTCTGAGGCCCCACCTCAGAACTCCCTACTGACTCAGACACTGCATTTCCGACAGGGTCCCCAAGGGATCTGTGCGCACGCCGCCATTGGAGGAGTCTCCATCTCCAGGTCCCCTTGCAAGCATAGAGCAAGGAGAACTGAGAGAGGGCGGGCTCAGGCTACCCCTGGCAGGCTCATCCACTTCATTTCATCCCCCTTTTCTGCCGTAAAGAAGCCAGGACAGGGTTCTCGCCAGCCCTGGCCCAGCCCTGGCTCGCCTAATGCTTTCATTTGACCTATAAAAATAACTGTCATGATGGTTCTCTCTTATTAAAAATGTTTTATGTATTTGAAAGTTTGTAGAGAGACACAGATAGACAGAGGGAAGGCTCTTCCATCTTGATTCACTCCCCAAATGCCCGTGATGCCAAAGAAGGTGGGACCAAGAGCTCAATCCAGGTCTCCCATGTGGGGGCAGGACCCCAGTCCTGTGAGCCATCCCTGCTGCCCCCCAGGGTGCACGCATTAGCAGGAAGCTGGAGTCAGGAGTGGAGCCAGGTGTCATGGGCGCTCTTGAAGTGAGATGTGGGTGTCCTAACCGGCATCCGAATCCCACCAAGCCAAACCCTCGCTGCTTCTCTAATTCCTCCCATTCTACATCCCCAGCACCCTGTCCCTTGGCCCCGATCCCTCTGGGCTTCTCACCGCTTCGGTGAATCCACCCCCTGCCTCCTGGTGGGGTGCCATCACATTTCCTCGCCTGACATCTCCACTCGGCTGCGCTCAGCTGTCTCGGGATGTCCCCGCTGTATCTGTCCCCAAACACCTGAACCCAGGACAAAGCGCGTCTCTCCCTGGGTCCCCGTGATGCCTTTCCAGGCCCTTCTTTGTCCCATCCCTCTGATGTACGGCTTGGGATGTACCTTCATTTAGGAGGGAGGGAGAGAGAGAAAGAGAACATGCTCTTAATCAGTGGTTCACTTAATCCGGGCCACCCCCACCTCTACCTCGCATATGAATACAGTTTATAAAGTTTAGTGGGAAAAAAGCCACATCCCAAGTCCTATATCAGATCTACTGAATCAGAATCTCTTCAAGGTAGGCCAAGGGCATAGGTATTATTATTATTATTATTATCATTATCATTATTAAGAGAGAATGCCTACCTCCTGGTTCACTCCCCAGCCAGCAATGCCTGAATGCCTGAGCCTGGGCCAGACCGAAGCCAGCAGCTGGGAACTCCATCCAGATCTCCCACATGGGTGCCAGGGACCCAGCTACCTGAGCCATCACCTGCTGCCTCCCAGGTTCTGCATTAGCAAGAAGCTGGACTCAGGAACCCGAGCTTACTGTTGAACTCAGGAAGTTCCCAGGCATCTTTACTGCTCGGCCACATGCTGAGCACCCCCACCCCAGACAGGAAATATTTCTTTGTAATGAACAGCCACCCCCAGCAGGTTATTCCATAAACTAGGGTTTGGTGTTGTTACCACCTGGTCTAAACACTTACCCGTCAGACCTGCAGCAGCCCCCTAACTCATGTAGCTGGTGGGAATGGCTATCTCAAATCCCTGTCGTCATGTGTGACTCCTATATCCAAGAACCAATAGTGGATCCAATTAGATAAGTTCCTGTCCCTCAGTGTGACCTGAAAAGCTGTCTCCAACTCACCCCAATTCTGCCAGCCACATTCCTTTGAATTCTATAAATGCCCTAGAGAATCCAAATACTCACGGGTCGCGTGTCTGCCACCTTGCCCTTATGTTATTTCCGCCTCAAATGCATACCTTCTTCTCCTTCCAAAGTACGACAAAGTCAGCACCGAGTGTCAATCAAGAAGTGAATCCCTTCCACTCTCCAAGAGTATGTCTTAAGAACAGTAATTAATTTTGATGTCCATGGTAGTTAAAATGAAAATGGAGAAAGAAAGCATATGTTTGAACGCCTGGCGCTTGACTATGCAAGAGAACAAGGAAGCAGCCATCACTGTGTTGCTAAGGCTGCTTCATTTTTGTAAATTTAGGTAAACAAGGACGGGGCGGGGGGGTCTTCCATCCGCTGGTTCACTTCCCACATGACCACAACGGCCCAGAACTGAGCCAATCTGAAGCCAGGAGGAGCCTCCTCCAGGTCTCCCACGTGGGTTCAGGGGCCCAAGCACCCAGGCCATTGTCCACTGCTCTCCCAGGCCACAGCAGAGAGCTAGATGGGAAATGGAGCAGCCAGGACTCGATATGGGATGCCGGCACTACAGCAGTGGCTTTACCCGCTATGCCACAGGGCCAGCCCCAAGGATAATGCAGTCTTAAAATTAAGACAGCATGAAGAGTTTCAGTTCTACCTTCTTGGTTCGTTGTGTGAAAGGCTAGCTCTCCTAGCCTCATGGGCCCAAAGTACTTGGTATACGCCTGCTCTCTTGGCCACAACCCTCCCCCACCCCCAACAATTCATAGCCATCATTTTGATTTTATTTGGGAGCCATTTTCCCCAAAATAAATACAACCTTTGCTATTTTTTTCTGGTTGTAAAAGAAGTAATAAGTACATTGGGGCTGGTGTTTGGTGCTTGGGAAGCCTGCATCAAATACAGGAGGGTCTGGGTTCAAGTCCTGGCTCCGCTCTTGATTCCGGTTTCCTGCTAATGTACAGCCTGGAAGGCAGCAGCAGGCAAGGCCCACGCCCTTGGTTCCCTGCCACCCTTGTGGGAGCCCCAGCTCGCATCCTGGGCTCCCGGCCCAGCCCTTGGTGTTGCAGGCATTTTGGAGAGTGAACCAGTGCCATGGACAATCTCTGTCTGGCTCTGTCCCTGGCTCGCTCAGTCCTTCTGCCTTTCAAATAACTAAATAGATAGATAGATAGATAGATAGATAGATAGATAGATAGATAGATAGATGAGAGAACAATGCAGAAAGGGAAGCCCTATATGGACTTACAGTCAGATTTCAAAAGGGTCCGGCATCAAAACTTTTTGAAGTCCCCTGTCCGTAGGCAAGCTATGCAAGAAGGCAGGTGTGAAACTCCTTGTGTTTGCAGCCAAAACCAAACACTTAAAATGAGTCGTGGGCCCCACAAACGCAACGGAAGCTCCTTTTCGGCATCCGCTCCTCCCAGCCCCCACTACCACCAGGAAGCCTTCGGGCTTGCAGTGGGTAACCCCTGGGGCGGGGGGCAGTGAGTCGCTAGCTCTCCCTTCCCTCGGCCAGTTCCTCACTGCCTCCTTTCCACCAACACTGCATGCTGCAGGTGCTGAACCTCTTCCTGGCCTTGCTGCTGAGCTCCTTCAGCGCGGACAACCTGGCGGCCACGGACGACGACGGGGAGATGAACAACCTCCAGATCTCCGTGATCCGCATCAAGAAGGGCGTGGCCTGGGTCAAGGCCAAAGTGCGCGCCTTCATGCAGGCACACCTGAAGCAGCGGGAGGCGGACGAGGTGAAGCCGCTGGACGAGCTGTATGAGAAGAAGGCCAACTGCATCGCCAACCACACCGGCGCCGACATCCACCGCAACGGCGACTTCCAGAGGAACGGCAACGGCACGACCAGCGGCATCGGCAGCAGCGTGGAGAAGTACATCATCGACGAGGACCACATGTCCTTCATCAACAACCCCAACCTCACCGTGCGTGTGCCCATCGCCGTGGGCGAGTCCGACTTCGAGAACCTCAACACCGAGGATGTGAGCAGCGAGTCGGACCCGGAAGGCAGCAAAGACGTAAGGTCCCAAGCCAAGAAACCCAACCTCGCTGTCTGCAGGAGCCTGGGAGGGGAGGGGTCATCTCTGCCCGGGGCCGGGGCACAGTCTGAGTGCTTCCCCCTGAGCCGTGGCCCTGAGATCCACCCAGAGCCACCTCTGGTTCCAGGAGGGTCCCTGTTTTCTCTGGGTTTGGACATGATACCCACTCCCGACAGAGGTCCTGGGGAACCCTGGTTATGGTATAGCTCATCGTGGCTTGGCCAAGGAGGAGTTGTACTAACAATTTAGGGGAGGAGAAGGGGCACAGGTGGGTGGTGTTGGGGCACAGCCAGTGAAGCCGCCAACTGAGATGCCGGCATCCCATATCTGAGCACCGGTTCCAGTCCCAGCTGCTCCGTTTCCAGTCCAGCTCCCTGCTAGTGCACCTGGGAAGGCAGTGGAAGATGGCCCGAGTATTTAGGCCTCTGCCACCCATGTGGGAGACCTGGATGGAGTTACTGGCTCCTGGGGTTGGCCTGGCCCAGATCTGGTTGTTGGGGCCATTTGGGGAGAGAATCAGCAAATGGACGTTCTCTCGCGGGCTCTCTCTCTCTCTCTCTCTCTTTGGCGGACACGTGGCCACAGCCTTGCCTGATCTCCCTTTCCCTTGCTTCTAGAAACTCGATGACACCAGCTCCTCTGAAGGCAGCACTATTGACATCAAACCGGAGGTGGAGGAGGTGCCCGTGGAGCAGCCCGAGGAGTACTTGGACCCGGACGCATGCTTCACCGAAGGTGCGCGCACAGAGCCGGGCATGCGACACCTGACGGCTCCCGGGCACAGCTCGGCCAGCAGCTGGGGGGCCCCGTGTCCATCTCCGGGACTCTGTTCCTCACCCTGCCCTCCTGAGAGATGTCTATCATCCTATTCAGCTTTGATCTATAGCAAGTTTCAGTTCTCAGACTTTGTCCATTTTCTCTCGACTTTCAGCCCCAAACCTTCCCCTAAAACGTCCTATCTGTCGCAGCCTGCACTCCATGCCCCTGCCTTCCCTCCTCCCTCTCACTGCTGCTTCCTAGACTGACAAGGGCCCTGCCAGCCCCTACCACACTGTCCCTATCTGAGCTGGGCCTCTGACTTGGCCCCCATACTGGTTTCCAGCCATGCGGTGGGCAGCACCTGTTGGGGAACTGGGGTTTTGGGGGGTGGGGAGGAGTGTGGAGGACAGACCTGGGCTGAGCCTCGGGGGTCTGACCCACCTCTCCCTCCCCCGCTCCCACCAGGCTGTGTGCAGCGGTTCAAGTGTTGTCAGGTGAATATTGAGGAAGGGCTAGGCAAGTCTTGGTGGATCTTGCGGAAAACCTGCTTTCTGATCGTGGAGCACAATTGGTTTGAGACATTCATCATCTTCATGATTCTGCTCAGCAGCGGTGCCCTGGTAAGGCCCCGGGGAGAACGCGGTGAGGGCTTGGCTCGGGGGAACGGTTCAGCGAAACCAGGGAGGCCCATGCCCAGGTTCCCTGAACACCCAGATCAGCTGTGGCCCCTTGTGCTTGGGGGGGCAGGAGATCGCACTGCAGGAAGTGGACAGGAAGGGACAACGCAGCGGTGAAACATGACCTGAGCTCTCGTGTTACTGCATTTGTCAAGATAGGATGTTCAGGGAGCCGGTGCTGCGGTACGGCGGGCCGAGCTGCCGCCTGTGATGCCAGCATCCTGTATCAGAGCGTCACCCACTCTACTTGGTCAACAGCTTTTGGGCCAGCACTGTGGCATTATGGGTTAAACTGCCACCTGCCACACCCACATCCTATATGGGTGCTGGTTCGAGTCCCAGCTGCTCCGCTTCCGATCCAGCTTCCTGCCGAGGTGCATGGGAAAGCAGCAGATGATGGCCTAAGTGCTTGGGCCCCTACACCCATGTGGGAGACCCAGATGGAGTTCATGGCTCCTGGCTTTGTCCTGGCCCAGCTGTTGTGGCCATTTTGGTTCACTCCCAAACAGTCTCCCTGTTCTTCCAGCACTGCTGAGAGCAGGCACCTCCCACTGCCTCACCGCGGACTTTTGCACCTCTGTGTCTCTCTCACACTCTGGGCATTCCCTCCCCCTTGGCACCGCACCTGAACACCTGTGTGTGGCCCTCTGCACATGGGGATGCGTGTGTCCTCCCTTTTCAGGAAATGGCCTCATCCGTGAATCCCTCCCTTCAGTGGGGCCACGGGATTGACAGAAGGAGCGATTCTTTCATGTCTGGAATCCTCATACTGCCCTGGCGGGAACGTGAAATGGCACAGCCAACTCTGGAAACCAGATTGGCAATTTCCTCAACCCAAAAAAATCAAACACAGAGTTACCCGCAATTTTTTTAAAGATTTATTTATTTGAAAGTCAGAGTTACACAGAGAGAGGTAGAGAGAAAGAGAGAGGTCTTCCATCCAATGGTTCAATCCCCAGTTGGCCGCAATGGCCAGAGCTGCGCCAACCCAAAGCCAGGAGCCAGGAGATTCTTTTGGGTCTCCCATGTGGGTGCAGGGGCCCAAGGACTTGGGCCATCTTCTACTGCTTTCCCAGGCCACAGCAGAGAGCTGGATCGGAAGAGGAGCAGCTGGGTCTCCAACCGGTGCCCATATGGGATGCCAGTGCTTCAGGCCAGGGTGTTAACCTGCTGAGCCACAGCGCTGGCCCCAATCCCGCAATTCTAATCCTAGGCATACACCCTAGAAAAATAAACTCATATGTCCACGCAAAAACATATCCAGACAGTGGCCAAAAGAAACACACACTACGAATGTTCGTGGGTAATAAAGTGCAGCGTGCGTCAGCCAGCCACACGTTAGCATGTGCTTGGTCACAGGCGGACAGGGGCTGGCACGGGCTGCACATGGGTGAGCCTTGAATGCGTGGTGCCGAGAAGCTCTAGGACTTGCGGGGGCCAGGGGAAGGGAGGTGACAAAGTGTGTGAGAGTTCTTCGGGGTGGAAGGTTCTAATGTCAATTGTGGACAGAAAAAAAACAGACGCCTGACCCCGACTATGCTGGAAGTCATTGAATTATTTCAGGTGGCTGAATCGTGGAGCGTGGACATGACACCCTACTCAGCTCAGCAGAGCTGTTTGGGAAATCAAGAGCACGCACAGCAAGGGGCAACCTCAAGGTCACTGTCACGGGCAACCGCCGCCTCTCTTTCAGGCCTTTGAGGACATCTACATTGAGCAGAGAAGGACCATCCGCACCATCCTGGAATACGCCGACAAGGTCTTCACCTACATCTTCATCCTGGAGATGCTGCTCAAGTGGACGGCCTATGGCTTCGTCAAGTTCTTCACCAATGCCTGGTGCTGGCTGGACTTCCTCATCGTGGCTGTACGTGTCTGGCTTTCTATTTTGCCACTGCCGCCGCCACCACTGCTAGTGGGAAAACGGAAAGCAGGCTGGAGGCAGCCTGGGGTCCAGGGTGTAGAGGAGCTGAGGCATGGGCGTGGGCGTGGGCGTGGATGGGCTTGAGAAGAGTCCCTTGATAGCACTCAAATCTTAATGCCAGGCACGGGAAACTCAGAAGTCCCTGCGTTTACAGCTCTGGTGGGTCTGCTTCGTGTAGATTCAGGGATTAGGAGAGAGAGCAGGGTCACGGATGAAGCCCCAGGAGCAGAGAGGAGCTGTGCTCTCCTGCTGCGGGCAGAATGGGCGGAGTGGGTTGGGGGGAGGGGGGGGCTCTGGAGTGGAGGTGGTCATCTCAGGACCCACGTGGACTCTCCTGCTGGCCGCACCTGTGGACTTTCCCATCTGACCCGAGTCTTGGTACCAGGCTCGCCGGAACCAGTCAGTTTATCTGAAAGAAGGCATCTCCACCAAGCACAGGCACCTCCTTCCACCGTCTAACCGTGCTCACCAGACCCAATCCGTCTCTCTTTCCCTCCAGGATCGGGGGCCATCTCCCAGCATGGTGACTGTGCCACCACCCCCCACCCCACCCTGTGTTGCTTTTCAGGTTGGAAGCTGCGTCTTCTCCCACTGCGGCTCACGCCAGCAGCGCTCACTCCTCGTCAACTTTCCTAATGATGGTGGCTCTTCTCTCATTCAGCGTGACAACTAAAGCCATTTTTTCCCTCCCAGCATGCAAGGAAAGAGTAAATGGGAACGCGGGCCCAGGACCCATGGGCAGTTCACATCCTGTGTAGCAGGTGGATGCATTTAGTACTCGGCAGCCAATGCTGGGGCCTAGGGTAGAACAGCACGGCAGCCTCGCTTGGGGACAGGAGCCCAGCACCCTATAAATGATTCCCTTCCTGACACATAATCTGCAGGTACCATTTACCATCCTGACTTCTGGAGGGCGGGCCAGGGGAGAGCGGGAGCTACCCTGTTCCTTAAGGTGAACCAGATGGGCCAGCTCCAGAGAGCCCCCATATGAGGCCATGGGAGCCAGAGCTTTGACACTCTCTTCCACAGCTGTGGACCACACCTCTCAGCAGAAGGCCCTCCGCTTCCCCCAGACAGGCAGGCAGACAGACAGACAAAACGCTGCGGCTCTGAGTCTTAAAGCTCCATGGGCAGAGAACTGAAGTGTGGCTGGCCCAGCCCTCTCAGTAGAAGAAGGGGAGACAGCACAATCCTCGCTTCAGAGTAGCTCTTCCGGACCACCAAGTATCAGGTGGGACCCCTGTAGGAGCCCCCTCAATCTCTTGCACCTTCCAGAAACTCAAGACAGATGCCAAGGGTCTTCAAGAAGTTCATGGAAGAATGGGCATTTAGCCTAGTGGTTAAGACACTGGGTAAAATGCCTGTGCCTCACTCGTGGCGGGGGGCGGGGGGAGGGGGGGTCTGGGACCAGTTCCTGGCCCCAGCACTGGATTCCAGCACCCTGGATTCCAGCGGTGGCGGCTCAGGTACTTGGGTCCCTGCCACCCACATGGGAGATCTGGATTCAATTTCAGACTCCCAGCTTCAGCCTGGCCCCGCCCCAGCTGTTGCAGGAATTTGGGGAGTGAACCAGCAGATGGAAGATCTCTCTCCCTCCTCACTCCTCCCCCCGCCTTCTCTCTCTGCCTCCCGAATAAGTTATTTTTAATTTGTTTTAAAGTTCTGGGAAATGTGTATTATGAAAACAACTATGCATGGATTTCAGAATTTGTTTTTTTGCACCAAAATAAGCTTATCTTTTCATTCCATTTTCCATGAACCTTTTGAACTCCCCGTGCACAGACACAGGCACACTCCTAACCATCTCTAGGGAGGCTGTGGTTTGGAACAAAGCTTCCCCACCACGGCTTAGCCTCAGCCACCTTCCTCTTCCCAAGGAGGGAGGCACCTCAGAATTCCCAGGATATTGACCAGGGATTGCCACTTGCCTTGGTACCCAGAGATGCGGCAAAAGGCTGTCAGTGTGTCTCACATCACCATTCATTCCGGACACATTCTTGTTACTTCTGGTGGGATGAAGTAGCAAGCATAAAGCAGGCATACAGCCAGCTGACAGAGCCCGCCAGTCCCTCCAGCTTCTGCTCCGTTAACCCCGTTGCTATAACACTTCCGAGAACCTTCTGTGCCAGCTGTTGGTAAACAACGTAAATGGAATATAGTTCTCTGTGTAGCTGTGTAGCAGTTGTCCCAAGAAGTCACAAGTAGCCCCAGGGGATAGGCAGGCATGGTCCCAGCTTCCAGGGGCCCCTGGCCCGCTTCAGGCCTGAGGAAATTCAACATTCTCCCAACAAGGCGCTCCTAGGAAGATTTCATTTGTTCTTGGCTCACCAGATGTATATCCACAGTGCCTCCTGCCAGGTGTTGTGGGGACTGCAAGAGGATGCGGCAAGGGCAGCTCCCCTTGAACCTGCAAATTTGGGGCTCCTGCACTAGTCACCAGCACGGCAGCTCGGTAGGGACTTCCCCAATCCATCATGCTGGCTCCACTGTTTGCCCCTTGTGCACTGTGGACGGGCAAGGCTGCTCAGCCCGGCACCTGGCCAGCCGGAACCGCGGGAGCTCTTGCTGTCTGTCTGGGTCTGTGCGGCTCCTTGGGTGTTTGCGTGCAGCAGGTGCACATTTAGGTACTAGCACAGCACTGTCCGAGAGCATCTTCCCTTGTCGGGTCCCCGGGAGGCCATGATGTCTGTGTTTCTCCTCCCCCTTCCCCGCCCCCGTTTGCTTCCCTAAGGGATTGTCAGTCATTCTGTTGCCCCCCTGAAAGCTGCTGAGAGCACATTTTAGACTCCTGGGGATAACCCAGACACCGTCCAGGCTCAGCGGACTTTGCATACAAGCCAGGGTTCCAGCCGGGGACAGCGTTTGCCTCTGCGCAGGTCCTTGCCCAGGACGGCATGTGCTATAGGATAACTCCGCCTTTTTCCTCCAGGGAAATTGGTCTTCAGTCACGTGTGGGGCTATGTCTGTTCCAGGGGGCTTCCCGAGACCACGCACTCCGTCCTGAGCGTGCATTTCCGAAAACCTTCTCTGTTGGACAATGTCCCGTGGTTTTGAACAAGCACCCCCCAGTGTCTCTCTCTGTCCTCCACCATGCCTGCAGCCAGACGGCCACCCGGACCTGTCGCTTTCTCACCACTCCCTTTTGTGTTAAGGTTCACCGCTTTCCTGCAAGCTTAGTTTAAACAATGTTCTGCTTGTCTCGGCGGGGAGTTAACATGGAGACTCAGAGGATGACAAGAGCGCCCTCACCTGCTGAGGATGAGCTGTGCCTTGGGCTGCCCCGACCAGACTGAAGGGCGGAGCAGCGGGGTCCCTGGGAGCAGCGTGGAGAACCAGCCCGCCCATGCCTCCTCCCCGCTTCTCCCCATTTGGTAGCAGACAAGTCGCCCAGCTTCAGGAGCTGGGGTCTCTGTCCCTGGTGTGAGGCCAAGAGCCACTCCAAGCTGGATTCTTTGGCCATCTTTCCCTGGCACATTTCCCAGGACGGTGCTGACCCAGGGGCGTTCTGAACAGGGTAGCTCACCCCAGATGTGTCTGTGACAGCCTCTGTAAGAGTCTGGAGCTTTCAGTTGTTTGGGGTTAAGAGTTGGTTGCACCTGTACCTGTTGCTAGTAGGCAAAAGACACCTGTGCCTAAATTTCTTAGCAGAGGGAAAGTGGCCGTGGCCGGTCCATGTTGCTGTGGGAAGACCGCGGAGGCAGAGATGGACTGGGGACCGTGCACCGGTGTGCCTTCTGGGCCTTGGCACCCTAAGTCTCTAGGATCAGGCCAGACAGCCCGAGGTGAACGCAGTACCCCAGGGGAGGGGAGTCCTTGTGGCCTCTGCCCCGACAGCTCTGGTAGAACAAGGTAAGTTTGCCTGTGCAAGAACCGGAGAGCACTTGAGCCTGGGAACCTGCAGACTTCTCTCCGCGGAAAACTGCAGGTTTTCCAGATGCTTGTTCACTCCTGTTGGGACACTGCCACAGGAGAAATTGGCCTAGGAGCTCGCAACAGGGGCCTTTAATCTTGGCTCCAGAGCAGGCAAATTCTGTTTAGGTCGCAATTCCCTGATCTGTAAAATAAAGGGAAAAAAATCTTTTCCCTTAAGAATTCTCCCAAGCTCTTTTTTTTTTTTTTTTAATATTTACTTATTTCAAAGGCAGAGCAACAGAGAGAGACTGAGACAGAGAGAGAAAGAACTTCCATCCGCTGGTTCACTCCCCCAAATGCCCACAACAGCCAGGGCTGGGCTGACCCGAAGCCAGGCGCTTAGGGCTCATCTGAGTCTCCCACCTGGGTGACGGGGACTCAAGTTCTCCGTCCATCACCTCCTGCCTCCCACTTCGCTCACGAGCAGAGGGCACAGTAGCCGAGACTTGAACCAGGCGCTCTGATGCGGACTGTGGGCATCCCAAGAGGTGGCTGCATCCACCGCGCCACAGCGCCTGCCCCCTCCTCCAGCTGTGAATCCAACCACACTGGAGCCATAGAAGACTGTCCCGAAACGGACAGAGCGGAGGCCAGTTCTTTGGAAGGCAAGCACGGGGAACGCTAAGGAAAAGTCTGGATCCCGTTGTCCAGACCCACCCACGTTCTGGTCCTGCGAAGGTCTCGGGATTGTGCTTTCAAGACGGAAAGATTGCTAGAGTTACAAGGGAGAGCAGGAGGAGCGGCTTGGGCGAGTTCTCCCGGAGCCGGAAGCACACTCCTCCCGGGGGGCTGCGGGGACTCGCGCAGCTCCGGAACACAAGGCTATGTCCCCCGTTGGTCAACCCAGGGTCGTGAGTGAGCTGAGGAGGGGCAGCTGGCGTGGGGCACGCGTATTTACCTGTATTCTTTTCCATAGGTGCCATTAAATTTGTCTGGCTTAATTTAATGGGAACTGCTGGGACCCCGCAGACTATGCAGGGCGAGGGTAAGGCTCTTGTCAACTCTCAGGCTCCTCTTCTTCCAGTGGAAACTCGCTCATCCTCACCCTCTCCCGCCCCCCCCCCACCTCCTCCCCTGTCCAACGCCTGCGTGTGCCCGACCGCCTCGCGACTGCCTCCTCCCTCTGTGTTGTCGTTGTTGTTGTTGTTGTTTTCTTCTGCCTCTCTCAACCACCTTTCCTTCCAGGTCGTTTGAGTCAAGTTGAAGTAGGCAGCTGGTGTCACCCACCGTCCTTGACCTGGGCGGGGCGGGCAGGGTGGGGGGAGCAATCGTGTCACCAGTGCTAGGGGCTGTGTTCTAACTCTCTGGAACCTCTGCTTTCTTCTCTTCCCTTTGTGTTTTTTTTTTGTTTGTTTTTTTTTTTTTTTTTTTTTTTCTCCTCTGTTCCGGTGTAGGTCTCTCTAGTCAGCCTTATAGCTAATGCCCTGGGCTACTCGGAACTAGGTGCCATTAAATCCCTTAGGACCCTAAGAGCTTTGAGACCCTTAAGAGCCTTATCACGATTTGAAGGCATGAGGGTAAGCTACCGAGAGAGAGAGCGGGCTGATCCTTCTGCATGCCACCGGGAACTGTCAGCATGCCAGAACCGATCACACGGTGCGGGGGGTCGTTAAGATGCGACCTGTGTGACGCAGCTGCGGCCCGACCCTCCGCCGTGCGCCCCGTCCCCCGCCCCGCGCGTGCGCACACACACGCGTGGGCAGGGGCGATGCACCGGGCTGCCGCATCACAGCAGTGTGGGCCCCATCGCAGAACGTGTTCACGTGGGCTGTCCTCATGTGGCCTGGCTTACCTGTAGCGTTCGGGGACGGCTTTTTTTTTTTTTTTTTTCTGGGCTGTTGATACCATAGGGAGAATCACCAGGTGCAAAGAAGGGGAATTGTGCCCCCCACCCACCCAAGACCCACCGAAAAGCACGGGGCTGCAAGGCAGGAAGAGGGCCGCGAGGGGGCGCTGTGGCCTCGGAGCCACCACCGAGAAAGCCGCTGAGCAGGGGCCTTGGGAAGTGGGGACCGAGCAGAATTTGGCATGGCCCCGGGAGAAGAAATGCTTTTCTGTCTATCCTGATTCCTCTTATTGCACCTTGTTGTTCTCAACCCAGTCCCCGCGAGGACTGGCAGCCTCTTGTCTGGTAGCAAAGCTTCTTCCTCACCCCACGCTGTCCGGTCCGCCCAAGGCTGACACTGCCGGAGCGACGAACCCCGGGCAGGTGCACCTCTCAGCTAGGTCCCCGCAAATCTCTCTGGACCCGCGCACACCCAAACAGCACAAAGCGCCCCCTTGGGGGTGCCACCTTCTGTCTTTCTGTGTGAATAATTTAATGCACACCATGCAGCCGACTGCCTAAAATCAAACAAACAACCGGCCCTGGTTGGTCAGCGTTGTCCTACGGTTACCAGAGAGGTCTGTTAACGCTTAAGGAGACCAAGAAAACTCCTTTTGGACCACGTGTTGAATTCATGCAGGAGAGCAAACCAGAGAACGCATTGTTTGAAACGTGCAGAGCTCAAGAGTCTAAGTGAGAATTCCCCTGTGAAGGTCGCCCAGGCGAGGCAAGACCGATTGGACAAGACAAGATGCCAGGGTGGGGCTGCTTCATCTGCGACCCCACCACCACCTCCCCCAGCCGCCAGCCGGTGACGCCCCCCCACGGCTGCAGAGAGAGGCGAAGTGGCTGTGAGCCATGCGGGTCTCACTTTGCTACTGAGGTTTGCTCAGACCCGGACCCAGGCGCTCTGCGGCAAAGCCGTGTTTCCTGTGTAGCACAGTCACAGTTTGGTTTACTGCACAGATGCAGGACAGGCAGCTCCACAGCGAGAGACATCCAGGTTTATTATTATTTAAACAGACAAGCCTGGGCTTTTGAGCCTTTTTCCCCACAGATGAGAGAGGTTTCAGAATGTGTGCAATAGAATTATTGCTAGACTCGGGCTAGGTTGAGAGAGACAGAAAATAGATGTTGCCCAGGGCACACATGCAGATACCCCCCTGGGTTACCCCCCGCTGCCACCCCACAGTTTTTCAGGAGAAGTGCATGTCGTCATAGATCATACTTGTTCTGTTAGAGCTGATTATCCACTTCACTGGCTGAGACACAGGCCGCTGGGCCCTTGGAAGCTCACTGGAGACAGGACTGGCAGCTGAGCTCTGTAGCCCAGGGGACCCCAACACTGTTCCCGGGGCTCCTCACAGGAGACTGGCGATCCCTGGAGAAAGCCCCAGTAATGCCCGCCCCAGCCTCTGAGCTCACCTGTCCATCTGGATGCCGGTTCCTGCCCGGCTGGGCTGTGGCAGAGGCGGCCTCACCAGCCAGCTGATGCCTATTTGCAGTAACATGGATCCAGGAGCCCTTGCGGTAGTTGTGTCTTTCCCTGTCAGCTCCTCCTCTCCTCCCCTTCCCTGAACTCCCAAATAGCTCAGCTTTCGCAGAGTCAAGGAGCCCAGGGGTCCAGAGTGGGTAAGTTCTGGAAAGTTCTATTTGAGAAGCACTAGGAAAAAAAAATAATTCTATTTGAAAAGCATCTGCACTGAGGTCTTTTCTGATCCAAGGTGGCAGCCCTTCCAAAAGTTCATGGAAAATGCACTGGATGAAAAATGAAAAACTGTCCACAGGATTTCCCAAGCTTTTTGCACCAAAATAAAGTCTGACGTCGTCATCCTATTTTCCACGAACTCTTTGAAATGGCCTCGTAATGTGGGGAAGAAGGACTTTGAGCCCAAAACGGCAACTTGACGCCAAGCGTTGCAGGAAAGGACGCTGTGGTGCAGGGTGTAGCCATCAGTGCCGACACTGGCTGGGTCCCTGGGTCCCTGAGTCCCTGGGTCCCATCCCTGTCCTATAGTTTCCCAGCCCTCCTATGGAAGAGTGACTGCAGGGAGGCGAGATGGAATTTGACCAAGCTCCTTGTCAAGCTCCCCTAGGAGTCGCCAGTTAGGTGTGCCCGCTGCACTGACACAGGCTTTGAGTAGAGTAGGTGCATGTGGTGGTTCTGTTTTGTTTTTGTTTTTCATCGTTCGGTTTGGGTTGCTTTGAGAGCCTGCCCTTAGATGGTTTCAGTCAGCGATCCTGAGGAAGTGAAGTGAACAGCGTCCGTGGGGATGGCCTCACCTGTCACTCTGCTGCTCCGATCTTGTAGGCTCAGATGCCTTTGGCCCCAGCCTGTCCTGGGATGCTGACTTCCGTCTGCTCCTCCTCTCCTTCCTCAAACCAAAGACCAGAAAATTGAAACACTCCCGCTCCCGGCAAAGGAACACTTCCTTAATGTAGTTCTTTGCTTTTCTCTCCTCCATCGTCATCTTCATTCAGAGATTTTTTTTTCTTTGCCGTGCTGTGAAGTTTCTGAGAGGCCCTCATAGTGGCACTATGATGCATGCATGCGTGTTTGTTGATCGTCGGTGCGTGGTTGTCCATGAAGGCCATGTTCCCTCTGCCAGATGTCCAAAGCTGTTTGACAGACCCGAATCTTGTTTAACAAGCACCAGCAGCATCCCAGGCATTAGAGAGAAGACACAAGTGCTGTGAAATCAGTCTCCATTGGCATGTTCTCATCAGTTGGGTGAGACTTACGTCAATTGCTAGGTGTAAACTTCCAGTGAAGACACTCACTCTTTGTAGATTGCTGGCACCTAACTTCGAGCACCAGTGAGGGCAATGTGGAGCCTCTAGAGAGAAGGGAGCGAGCAGACGAGGCCATGCAGTTGCTTAGGTGACTCTCAGGGGAGACTGCAGTGGCCATTCGTGCTGTATCTTCAGCAGGAGAGCCCAAAATAAAAAGCGTAGTCTCTTGCTCTTTGGTTGCCAAGAACAGCGGCAGACACATTCTACGTGGAGCCCAGCTCAGTTCTACTTAACCTATGAGTACTGCCACTTAGGAGCCAACGCTCACAGCAAAGAACTTAAATCAGTGAATTGCATCAACTCTCTTTGCTGTTTTAGGCACAGAACCCAGAAGTCTTTCCTTTGGTAATGATTAACAAATAAAAGTACTTCTGTGTCTTAACAGAAGCAATGGATTTTACAAGGTTCTGTGTCGCTTCAGGGAGCAAGGTTTAGCAAAACAAAAACAAAAAACCAGTTTAATGCATCGATGCCTTTGGTGAGATCTGTGCATCTACACGTTCAAAGAGACCACTTTGTACACTGGCCGATGACCCTCCTGTGCTGTGACCCTCACCCTGGATCTCACTGTGGCACACAGACCCCGCTGGGAGTTTAACCTTTTGGGGGTCTGCTTCCCTAGATCCCATCTGCAGTGGTCTACTGCAAGGTCATTGTGTCTCACCCAAGCTCACGTAGATTTGACCTTTGAACTCTTCCCATAATCCCCTCCTTCCTGGTTGCGAAGTGACCGTTCTATCTGTGGACCATCCCCCCCACCCCTTTGCCTGTTCTTTGCCACTTTGCATTGCTTTTTGGTTCCCACCAAAGAGTGAGCCATGGCCAAACCAGCTCAACCAGTAAATACAACTCTCATTCTTCCAAAGTTAACATGGAGCATTTTCCGAGTTTCGGTTAGTCTGGCTTTGCTTGCTCAGTGATAATTCAGTGAGAAAGTAGTGAGCATTCTATACCAGTGACAGAGCCATCAGGTCTAGAAGAGCTTTCTTGGTCTAAAATTAAGAAGTAACTGCCTCTCGATCCAAAAGCCTCCATATAAGAATCGGAGAAACACAGAACAAATGTTCTCACCTAAAAGGAAGCGTGGCTCCGTAGCAGGCTTCTTGTCACCTTTTTTTATGTAGAATGGAAGAGAGGGCTCTTCCCCAACACCCTGTCTAATGCGGGACCATGCAGTCTAAGGCAAAAATAGAACCCAGCTTTGGAAAACCCAAACCTGCTATGACCCATGAGAGCTCAGCACTGCCCCCTGGTGTCCCTGCACAGTATGACCGGCCCATCTTTGCACTGGGCTGGCTGGTGATAGGGCCAGCCACACCTGTCATTAAGCAGGGACATTGGTGATTGACACCTGTCACTGCCTCTGAACAAAACTGTAGAAGACACACTTCATTTGTACCTGGTGTCTTAACTCTCTTAGCCTTCCCGGATACCAGGAAAAGGAAGAAGCATTATTTTTGCATATTAAAATCAGGGCAGAAATGGAAACCAACCTTGTTTTCCATCCCACCACCTGAAGTATTAGTGTCGTGAGCACTTGAACTCCCCCCGCAAAAGCTGCTACAGCAGTGTGATGTTGTCCAAGTTCTCTCACCGCCCATGCAAAGCAAAACCCAGATTAACAAACACCCCGGAAGCTTCTGTTCCCAAAGGGATTTTTCCTTTGCTTTTTATTATTATAATTTATTATTGTTGTTATTTTTATTCCTGACTCTTAAACATCTGCCAGTTTTTAAGTTTCCAGGGCAGTGCTGTCACCAAACCTTTACACACACACACACACACACACACACACACACACCATCTCAGTCATTCCTTTGGGTAATCATCGGGAAGAATGGAATCAAACCCTGGAATTCGAGCAGACTCTTAGATACACCAGGCAAAGAGAGGCTGCAGCAGAACAGTGACCCCGAGTGACAAGCACATGTGTTCGGATTTGATTCTGTTACACTGTTTGGTAGAGGGAATATAGCTTTTTTTTTCTTTTTTCTTGAGCCTGCAAACTATGCATGCTCAGCTATTGCCTGACATCCGATACGTGGCCTTGCACAGACAAGAGAGATGTTAACTCGCCGCCGGTCTCGAGGGCGGCTCTGTGTGGTTTGAACAGTCCTATCTTGTTTCTCAGAGGGGGAATGTCCATCGGAAGACAGCCCGTGAGCTTGAAATTCCTCACAGTTCGCCCACAGGGGCGAATTTCCCTGAGTTGAGGAGGAGGGAGACTCCAGTGGGACTGAGAAGTACTGTGTTCAGTCCCAGGTTGGTGCTGAGGAGCGAGCTCTAAGCTTGGCAGGGAAAATTTGCCTGCGTTTCAGTAAAGATGTATTCAAATTCCTCAAAGTCAAGTTCAGAGACTTAGACGTTCTGGATCCTGCCTGCGGATCCATCCAATTACTCTGATTGCAAAGGGAACTTGGTGCTTCCCTAGAGGAACAAGGCACAGACATATCATTCCCCTCCTGGAAACGAAAAGAATGCGCCTGCCCCCCCATGTTTCTGGACACTCAGCAGCCTCCCCCTTCCAACGCAGGTGGTGGTAAATGCCTTGGTGGGCGCCATCCCTTCCATCATGAATGTGCTGCTGGTGTGTCTCATCTTCTGGCTGATTTTCAGCATCATGGGCGTTAACCTGTTCGCGGGAAAGTACCACTACTGCTTTAACGAGACCTCCGAGGTCCGGTTCGAGATTGATATTGTCAACAATAAAACCGAGTGTGAGAAGCTCATGGAAGGGAACAATACCGAGATCCGATGGAAGAATGTGAAAATCAACTTTGACAACGTCGGGGCAGGGTACCTGGCTCTTCTTCAAGTGGTAAGTGGCACACAGCCATCCTTTAGTGCCCTGAAATCCGGGCAGCAGCTGGCATTCCCCGTGCCCTGCCTTCTCAGCCCTGCTCCCTGAATCAGGGTTGCTCTCAGAAGGGTGGTGGGAACGAGATCATTCCCCAACCTGGATTGGGGGTGGGGAAGGGGAGGGCTCGCCTGCCTATTCTCTGGCCCCTCCCAGGTTTCCACGCTAAGGGGACCCCTGAACTGTGCTCAGAAGCAGAGTTGTACGTAGCAATAAGATTTCGGCCGTGTAATTCGGTGCCTCTCTCCCCGAGTCAGTGTAGTTGAAGAATTGGGGAAAAAAAAAAACAAGTGCATAGACAAAAGGGGGGGTCATTTTTGCTGGAACCCAATCACCCTACATTTTAGTTACACTAAAGAGGGAGAACCCGGGGCTGGCGGGCGGCCGCTTGCACCCCCGCCCTCGGAGACAGCGCCAGTGGGATCGGTAAGGAGGGATTGACTGCAACTCCGCAGACCAATCTCTTTTGGCTGGATTTTGTTTTCCTCACTTCTTCCCCCCCCCCCCCCAGTTTTTGGGGACACCTGGACAGCAAAATGACATAGTGCAAATGCACATGGCGGATTCATCTGCAGACTTGAGCCGCCCTCTGCTGTGTATTGGATAACTTGGACAAGTTCCTTGGCCCCTCTGTTTGTCCATCTATTAAGTGTGGATAATAACAGCTTGCATGGATACTCACGGGATTTGTGATTTTTTTTTTAAGATTGATTTATTTGAAAGTCTGAGTTACACAGAGAGAGAGAGAGAGAGAGAGAGAGGTCTTCCATCCACTGGTTCACTCCCCAGTTGGCCACAATGACCAGAGCTGCGCTGATCCGAAGCCAGGAAACATGAGCTTCCTCCAGGTCTTCCCACGCGGGTGCAGGGGCCCAAGGACTTGGGCCATCTCCCACTACTTTCCCAGGCCATAGCAGAGAGCTGGATCAGGCAGTGGAACAGCCAGGACTTGAATCGGTGCCCATATGGGATGCTGGCACTGCAGGCGGCGGCTCTACCCACTATGCCACAGCACCGGCCCCTGTGATTTTTTTAAAGTTTCTCAGCACAATGCCTGCCACATAACAGTGCTTCATTAATGGTAATTGCCGTTGTGTATTTTCATGATGGTTATTACTAGGCCTACACTGTACTGTTGTTGAGAGGATTAAATGTGTTGGTACAGGCAAAGCTCTCAGCCTAACGGTGCACTCGTAGCAAGCAGGCATACCCTGTGAGCCGGCAGTAAAATAAAGTGAGAAGGAATTTATCCTGCCCCAAAGCTCTTTTGCTGTTGTCCATCCCAATTCAAGAGACTTGCAGCCACAAATCAAAATTGAATGGGGGCCAGCGCCGCGGCTCACTAGGCTAATCCTCCACCTGCGGCACTGGCACCTCAAGTTCTAGTCCCGGTTGGGGCGCCGGATTCTGTCCCGGTTGCTCCTCTTCCAGTCCAACTCTCTGCTGTGACCCGGGAAGGCAGTGGAGGATGGCCCAAGTGTTTGGGCCCTGCATCTGCATGGGAGACCAGGAGGAAGCACCTGGCTCCTGGCTTTGGATCGGTGCAACGTGCCGGCCGTAGCAGCCACTTGGGGAGTGAACTAATGGAAAAGGAAGACCTTTCTCTCTCTCTCTCTCTCTCTCTCTCTCTCTCTCTCACTCACTCACTGTCTAACTCTGCTTGTCAAAAAAAAAAAAAAAAATTGAATGGGGGCAGCTCCAGAAAACAAATGTAGCTTGGGTCACTCAGCCAGCCAGCTCCTGGGTTCCGTGAGTCCACACCCGATATGGGCGGTGCTTAGGGTCTTTCCATGAATAAAGAACTTCCCGTGTCCTGGAAAAAGGTAGAATCCTGCTGGAGAATATTGGATTGCCTGGCCATGATTGTTGGCAAGATGCAGTAGAATGATGGACTGGAACTGGCCCAGTGTTGCCATTCCGTGGCCTACACGTTGGTGCATTAGGGGAAAGTTCTGGCCTCGGTTGCCCTGGAAATGCAACCAGGAATTGCCAGATTCCATCGCTCTGTAGCATCTTTGCTTTTTAAAAGGAGCTCCCAGTGGGAGGCTGTGTTTCGGCCCCTTCATTAGATTCCTGAGTTAGCTCATGAATACACATTTGCCACCACCCCTGTTAAAGAGCTTTTGTAATAGTATTGATCCAGTTACCACTGTCTGTTCAACTCCTTGCCAAATTTCGATGGGTCCCAGAGCTGTCCTGGGACCTGCAAAGCAGGGGTTCTTGAGAAAGTTTGTGGGGAAAATGGATGCAAAGTTTATTTTGGTGCAAAATAATGTTTAATTATAAACATAATTTTTTGTCATAATACACACTTTCCTGGGAACGTTTTGAAGACGTCTCATCACACCTCTCTCAGACTTTGGCACCAAAGTAAGCTTAACCTGTTAATGCCATTTCCCACGAACTTTCTGGAGGCCCCTGTGTTAACCAGCAGACGGTTCTGTATCTGTGCGAGGCTGTGCTGAACTTCAGCCTGGTGCTCGGACCCTTGCCTAGACTCCCACCCAGCCCTTTCACGGCACAGGCTCATGCCTCGCTCTGTTTGCCAGGCAACCTTCAAAGGCTGGATGGACATCATGTATGCAGCCGTGGATTCCCGGAAGGTAAGGCGGGGCGCGATGAGGAGATCTGAGATCCCGGGAAAGCAAGCTGCTAGCCAGAGCCCAGCCAGAGAAAGGGAGGGAGGGAGGGAAGAATGGCTTGGAGGTAAGTGTGGCTCCTGGCAGACAGCCCTTCCCTCCCCCTCGCCTCCTCTTAGGAAGCCGGTAGGGCGGCGCGCATGGCCAGTGTGGGATAGAAGAGCTGACCCTTCCTCTCCTCTGCTCCTTCCCCTTCGACAGCCTGATGAGCAGCCGAAATACGAGGACAACATCTACATGTACATCTACTTCGTCATCTTCATCATCTTCGGCTCCTTCTTCACCCTGAACCTGTTCATTGGCGTCATCATTGATAACTTCAATCAACAAAAGAAAAAGATAGGTCTCCTCCCCTCCTTGCCCGTGGTCGGGGGCAGGGTCCACCCAGATGGACAGCACTCTGCCCTCCCCCCTCCGGAGAGCAAACGCCCCTCCTGCCCTCTGCAAAGCCGGCACCATCACCTTGGTGTCTCAGTGGCCCCCACCAGCTCTTTCTGTTTGGGGCTGGATTGGGTGCTTTGCGACAAAGACCTGCCGTCTTAGAATTCTTGGGGCTTTTTACCAGTTTGGGTCCCTCCACCAATGGATGCCCCTAACAGCTGCAGGGTGGAGCAGAGGTGGGAGGTGGCCTACACTGGCAGCCAATCACATGAAGCCTGCACGGTGGGAACTGAGAGATCACCCTTGGAAAATTCACTTCCTTCTTAGCCCAGACGGATACCGAGTTTCCCAAAGCAAATGGAGCGGATGACCCTTGTCAATCACTGGGCAAGTGTATTCTTGCCCAGCAAGCGCTAAGGAACTTTCCAGATTGCCTTTTTGCTCCAGAACTTCCGAGGGTTGAAGATTGGCTCAGATGCATGAGCCATTAGCCAGGACTTTTGGAAAATCATCTTCTTTTAAGGCTTTCCTTGAAAAATTGCCATGGGGAAAGCAGGCCAGAAACGGGTTGTGAGACTGTGGGTTGTAACTGGCTTCAGCGACTGGCTGGCCTCAGGGAGCCCGGGCCGCCAGCCAAGACAGGTGTCTCCTGGAATTGGGATCAGTCACGCCAGGTCCACCTCACGCACCGGGAGACAGCTTGGAGCTGAGCCGGCCCCAGGACGGGGGAGAAGGGCAGTTGTGGGCTCTGGGTGGAGGGGCCGTGGCACCGAGCGCCGGTTGTAACAGCCCTTCCTCTCTCTCCTCCCCTTACTTCGGAGGTCAGGACATCTTCATGACGGAGGAGCAGAAGAAGTACTACAACGCCATGAAGAAGCTGGGCTCCAAGAAGCCCCAGAAACCCATCCCCCGCCCCCTGGTGAGTGCAGGCAGGAGCCCTTAGGGGAAAGGCACTGCTAGGGTGACCCTGGCAGAGAAGGGGCAGGTGACAGCACCCGGCGCCCACTATGCCAGCAGGGCTCGCAGCCTGGGCTGGCTCTCGGGTGGGTTCACACCAGACCCATCCTCCGACCCCGCCTCCAGAAGTGGCCGAGTAGCCATGTGCTGGCCACCTGGGCGCTGGCCCTGGGAGAGACAGACAGAACGGAACAGCAGAAAACCTGAACAGAGCCTCTTGTGGCACAGGCCAGGGAGGGGGACAGAACCCCCCCAAAGCCAAACTTCCTCCTGGAACTTTCCTTTAAAGCGGCTTTCAAAAGCAAAAAACAGGCCGGCGCCACAGCTCACTAGGCTGATCCTCCACCTGCAGCTCCAGCATCCCTTATGGGCGCCGGGTTCTGGTCCCGGTTGCTCCTCTTCCAGTCCAGCTCTCTGCTGTGACCCAGGAAGGCAGTGGAAAATGGCCCAAGTGTTTGGGCCCTGCACCCGCATGGGAGACCAGGAGGAAGCACCTGGCTCCTGGCTTCGGATCAGCACAGCGCGCCGGCCATAGCTCTGCCTGTCAAAAAAAAAAAAAAAAAAAAGGCAAAAGACCAGCAGGGCCTCTCAAAAGAAAAGCTGACCTTGGCAATCTAGTGTGTAGACGGGAGAGGAAAAGTCGGAACCCAGCATCGGCGTCCCCGAGGGCCCGACTCCCGGCACCAGTCTGAGGCTGCGCCTGGTACTTTGCATACGGGAACCTGAGCGCATTTTCGTCCGCAGTCAGACACGGGTTAATGGGGCAAGTGTTGTGGCACAGTGGGGTAAGCCACAGCATGGGACACTCACATTCCATATCTTGAGTGCTGGTTTCTTTTTTTTCTTTTTTCTTTTTTTTTTTTTTTGACAGGCAGAGTGGATAGAGAGAGAGAGAGAGAGAGAAAGGTCTTCCTTTGCCATTGGTTCACCCTCCAATGGCCGCCGCGGCGGCCGGCGCACCACGCTGATCCGATGGCAGGAGCCAGGAGCCAGGTGCTTTTCCTGGTCTCCCATAGGGTGCAGGGCCCAAGCACCTGGGCCATCCTCCACTGCACTCCCTGGCCACAGCAGAGGGCTGGCCTGGAAGAGGGGCAACCGGGACAGAATCCGGAGCCCCGACCGGGACTAGAACCTGGTGTGCTGGCGCCGCTAGGCAGAGGATTAGCCTAGTGAGCCGCGGCACCGGCCAAGTGCTGGTTTCAATCCTTGCTGCTCTGTTTCTGATTCAGTTTCTTGCTAATGCACCGTAGGAGAGCAGCAGCGATGACTCATATAGTTGAGCACCTGCCAACCATGTGGGAGAGCTGAACTCGGCTCCCAGCTTCAGCCTGGCCCAGCCCCACCTGTTGCAAGCATTTGAGGAATGAACCAGTGGATAGGCTTTCTCTCTCTCTCTCTCTCTCTCACACACACACACAAATAAATAAGCTGTTTAAAAAAAAAAAACCCTTAGCATGGTAAGAAGCATTAATAAAAAAAGTGATTATCATTCATTCAGCAAATATCTAAATATCTATAAATATTTTGTGATGAACAAAATTTAAGACACTGCTATCATGGAGCTTGCAGGAGAATGAGAGAAAGAAAATAAACAGCTACAATAAAACCTGGGGCATCACGGGAAATAATTACAGGGCCATGGCCAACAAAAATGTAGGTCATGGGTTGGGTCTGCTTCAGCCCAGCCAGCAGCCCGCACCGAGGAGGGGCCCCTGGAGCGGGCATGGCGGCACAGCCAGATGAGGGGGTGGGCTCTGGTTCTGTTTTGGGGAGGAAGCATCAACAGGGTCTTCTTGGAGCGGGTGGAGGCTGAAGGAAAAGAAACTGCTCCCTGGCCCAAGAGATTGGAGGAATTAGGGATTTGAGATGGATACGGCTTGCGGGCTGGAGCGGGGCACAGGTGCGCTGGTGTGGCGTGTGCAGTAGGCTTGAAGGAGCTCTCCCTGTGCCACAGGGCCGAGAGAGAAGAGTTAGGGTGAGACCAGCGGGGAGGCACACAAGATCAGACATGTGAGCGGGCAGCGCAGTGAGGCCGTGCACGTGTGGCCCAAGTGTGGACGTGTGGGAGCCCGCAGCCCCGGGAAAGGCCTTGCTGAATCCTGTTCCCTCTCCTCCCCAGAACAAGATCCAGGGCATCGTCTTCGACTTCGTCACACAGCAAGCCTTCGACATTGTCATCATGATGCTCATCTGCTTGAACATGGTGACCATGATGGTGGAGACGGACACGCAGAGCAAGCAGATGGAGAACATCCTCTACTGGATCAACCTGGTCTTCGTCATCTTCTTCACCTGTGAGTGCGTGCTCAAGATGTTCGCCCTGCGCCACTACTACTTCACCATCGGCTGGAACATCTTTGACTTCGTGGTGGTCATCCTGTCCATCGTGGGTGAGTAGGCGGGGTGTGGCACGGAGAGCGCCCCCTGCTGAGCGGGGTGAGCACACAGGTGTAGCAGGGGCGCCCCCTGCGGGGCAGAGCGAGCACATAGGCACAGTAAAAGACCCCTGCCGGGCGGAGCGAGCACATAGGTGTGGTGGGGGCGCCCCCTGCTGGGCGGGGCGGGCACACAGAATGGGTGGATAGGGCATGCACACAGGCACGGCGGGTGCCCCCAGCTGGGCGAGGCAAGCACACAGTGGGTTTGTGCTGTGTGCCCGCAGCTCTGTGGGATTGGAAAGTCTGTGCTGCAGAGGGGAAAAGGGAACAGAGTGTTCAACTTAATGAAATCATCCGGGAACTTGTGATGGTGGCACGGTTGTGCCACTGCCATAGGAAACACCCGTTTACTGGGGTCTGACCGTGGGCCAGGGACAGCTTGAGCATCTGACCTGGGCGACCCCGTCTGGGCCTGTAACAGCCCAGGAAGCAGCCGTGAGTTAGATTCGCCCCTGTGCACCTGCGCAGGGTCACGCAGGAGGCGGCAGCGGCAGAACTCAGGTAGGCCCCAGAGGCCGTGTTTTCCTCCGTGACTGCGTGCACTCTGCTGGGGCCTACAGCGTGGAGAGGAAGATCCCGGCAGGTGGGCCGAGAGATGCCTCCCATCGGCTCCTCCCCAAGCACAGCGTCGCCTCCTGTAGGGCATCTAAGTCCAGCAGGTGGGACTGCCTGACACCAGCAGAGACAGGCCCCGGCCCCGCTGAGTGATGTGGCAACTCCGGCCTCCCTCCCCTCTCCCCACTGCCCCCTCTAGGCCTGTGCTTCCGAGCAGCACAAGAGCCTGCTGGCCTCTGGCGTCCCTGTGACAAAGTCCCCTTGGTAACACAGCACCGTCACTCCCCTCTGCAGGGTCCCGGTGCACAGAGCCGCCTCGGGCGTCCCTGTGACAAAGTCCCCTTGGTAACACAGCACCATCACTCCCCTCTGCGGGGTCCCGGTGCACAGAGCCCCCTCGATCCTCTTTTTTTTTAAAGATTTTATTTATTTATTTGAGAGATAGAGTTACAGATGGTGAAAGGGAGAGGGAGAGAGAGGGGAGAGAGAGAGAGAGAGAGAGAGAGAGAGAGAGAGAGTCTTCCATCTGCCAGTTCACTCTCCAAATGGCCACAATGGCCGGAGCTGTGCCAATCCAAAGCCAGGAGCTTCTTCCAGGTCTCCCACATGGGTCCATCTACTGCTTCCCTAGGCCGCAGCAGAGAGCTGGATCAGAAGTGGAGCAGCCAGGACTCAAACAGGCATCCATATGGGATGTTGGCACTGCAGGCAGTGACTTTACCTGCTATGCCACAGCTCCAGCCCTCATGAGTCTCTTTTTAAAACCTCCAAATAGGGGGATTCAGTGGCCTTCTATCTGAATTCCTGTGGATGAGAGAGACTGCCCTGCTTAGACTAAGCTCCCCTGTGTCAGTGGAAACCTCGCGCTGCTCAGGGCCTGGACAGGAAGAGACCCTGAGTGGGGAAAGTGTGGCACTGCCTCCCCATGCCCCACCCTCTCCTCTCTGCCCCTGCTGTGGCACCTGGGACTCGCTGCTCGCTCTGCGGTCTTATAGACAACCTGCCTGCATTTCCACACTCTGCTTCTATGTCCTGCTCCTGCCATGGCCCCGTGGCCCGCTGAGAGTGGTCTCTCATTTACGGCTTGCAGCACAAAATCGAGACGCTCTGAGAGGGGCCCATTAGCTTTCCAGTTGGGGAGATGGACGATTAAAAAAAAAAAGTACGAAGAGTCGAAAATTGGTGGCATTAATGGAACAGTTGGGACAGCAGAGTGAGAGGGCAGTGGGCCATGTGGGGAGCAGGGACCTTGTGCCCATCATTTATGAATGTGGAGATTCAAGAGCATTATGGAGAACAGCCCATAATACTCCGGAAAGCCGTGTGTGCACACATCAGGAAGACTTGCTGTTCTGGCACAGGAAGACAGATAAGTGAAAGGGAATACCACTGAATTGTTAAAATGAATCATCTCAACCTATTTTTTAAGATTCATTTATTTATTTGAAAGTCAGAGTTACGCAGAGAGAGGAGAGGCAGAGAGAGAGAAAGAGAGAGAGAGAGAGAGGTCTTCCATCTGCTGGTTCACTCCTCAATTGGCCAGAGCTGTGCCGATCCAAAGCCAGGAGCTAGGAGCTTCTTCCAGGTCTCCCATGCAAGTACAGGGGCCCAAGAACTTGGGCCATTTTCTACTGCTCTCCCAGGCCATAGCAAAGAGCTGGATCGGAAGTAGAGCAGCCGGGACTCAAACAGGCACCCATATGGGATGCCGGCACTGCAGGCAGTGACTTGACTTTACCTGCTACGCCACAGTGCTGGCCCCTAAACCTATTTTTTTTTTTTTTTTTCATTTTATTTGAAAGGTAGAGAGACAGACGGAGAGAGAGATTCCATCTACTGATTTCACTCCCCAAATGCCCACAACAACCACAGCTGGGCTGGGCCAGGCCAAAGCTAGGAGCCCAAAATTCAATGTGGGTCTCCTGCATAAGAGGCAGGGGCCCAAGGTCTGGGGCAGAAGCAGAGGAACCGGGACTTGAGATGGCACTCTGGTATGGGCTGTGGGCATCCCCGATGGCGACTTGAACCGCTGTGCCAGACGCCCGCCCCGACACCTATTTTCACACAAGATCCATCTCATAAACGTGATAAATCTCAGAAAGAAATTCATATAGATCTAAAAGGATAAGCCACGTAGAATCGGGCTGACGTCAGTGGTGCAGCAGGTTACACCACCACTTGCAACACCTGCTGGCATCCCACATCAAAGTGCCAGTTTGAATTTTGGTAGCTCTGCTTCTGACTCAATTTCCTGCTGATGCGCCTGGGAAGGCAGCCCCTGCCACCCATCTGGGAGGCCAGGATGGAGTTCCTGGCTCCTGGCATCAGCCTGGCCCAGGCTGGACTATTGTGGGCATTTGGGGAGTGGCCCAGTAGATACAAGATCTCACTCTCTGCCTCTCTATGTCACTCAACCTTTCAAACAAATCTTTAAAAACAGATGCAGTGGGGCCGGCGCCGCGGCTCAATAGGCTAATCCTCCGCCTGGCGGCGCCGGCACACCGGGTTCTAGTCCCGGTCGGGGCGCCGGTTTCTGTCCCGGTTGCCCCTCTTCCGGGCCAGCCCTCCGCTGTGGCCAGGGAGTGCAGTGGAGGATGCCCCGGGTGCTTGGGCCCTGCACCCCATGGGAGACCAGGAAAAGCACCTGGCTCCTGGCTCCTGCCATCGGATCAGCGCGGTGCGCCGGCCGCAGCGCGCCGGCTGCGGCGGCCGTTGGAGGGTGAACCAACGGCAGAGGAGGACCTTTCTCTCTGTCTCTCTCTCTCGCTGTCCACTCTGCCTGTCAAAAAAAAAAATAAAAAAAAAAAAAAAAAAAAAAAAAAAAAAAAAAACAGATGCAGTGGGATTTCCCCAGTGTGATGAGATGCTCTCGGTAGCTGGTGGGTTTCATCCTGTGAAACTAGACAGATGGTGTGCTCTGGGGTGTGGATGCCCTGGGGAATGGAAGGGGCAGAAGCAGATCTGGGAAGAAAGATGCTCCCTCTGTCCGGGCTGCATGCTGGGCACAGAGGCCTCTGTTTGAGGCTTTCTGTCTCCTTTGACGTGAGAACATGCTATGGTCCTATTAGGCGAGTGCAGATTGTGGAGCCAGGCACTTGCTCTTATTACAAAGCCCTTTGGACTCCAGGCGCCAGGTGAAAAACAAGGAAGGAGATAGGGCAGCTCCAATGTCAGTAACACAACGTCTTCTGTCCCTCGTCCTCAGGCATGTTCCTGGCTGATATAATCGAAAAGTACTTTGTCTCTCCGACCCTCTTCCGAGTCATCCGATTGGCCCGAATTGGGCGCATCCTGCGTCTGATCAAAGGCGCCAAGGGGATCCGCACCCTGCTCTTTGCCTTAATGATGTCCCTGCCTGCCCTGTTCAACATCGGCCTGCTGCTCTTCCTGGTCATGTTCATCTTCTCCATCTTCGGGATGTCCAACTTCGCCTACGTGAAGCACGAGGCCGGCATCGACGACATGTTCAACTTTGAGACGTTCGGCAACAGCATGATCTGCCTGTTCCAGATCACCACCTCGGCTGGCTGGGACGGGCTGCTGCTGCCCATCCTCAACCGTCCCCCGGACTGCAGCTTGGAGAAGGAGCACCCGGGCAGCGGTTTCAAGGGTGACTGCGGGAACCCCTCGGTGGGCATCTTCTTCTTCGTGAGCTACATCATCATCTCCTTCCTCATCGTGGTCAACATGTACATCGCCATCATCCTGGAGAACTTCAGCGTGGCCACGGAGGAGAGCGCGGACCCCCTGAGTGAGGACGACTTCGAGACCTTCTACGAGATCTGGGAGAAGTTCGACCCCGACGCCACGCAGTTCATCGAGTACTGTAAGCTGGCTGACTTCGCGGATGCGCTGGAGCACCCGCTGCGCGTGCCCAAGCCTAACACCATTGAGCTCATCGCCATGGACCTGCCCATGGTGAGCGGGGACCGCATCCACTGCCTAGACATCCTTTTTGCCTTCACCAAGCGGGTCCTGGGAGACAGCGGGGAGCTGGACATCTTGCGGCAGCAGATGGAGGAGCGCTTTGTGGCGTCCAATCCTTCCAAAGTGTCTTACGAGCCCATCACGACCACGCTGAGGCGCAAACAGGAGGAGGTGTCCGCCGTGGTCCTGCAGCGCGCCTACCGGGGACACCTGGCGAGGCGGGGCTTCGTCTGCAAAAAGACAGCTTCCAATAAGCTGGGGAACGGAGGCACGCACAGGGAGAAGAAGGAGAGCACCCCTTCCACGGCCTCCCTCCCGTCCTACGACAGTGTGACCAAGCCTGAGAAGGAGAAGCAGCAGCGGGCAGAGGAGGGGCGGAGGGAGAGGGCCAAGAGACAGAAGCAGGTCCGAGAGTCCAAGTGCTAGAGGCGAGCGGAACCCGGCCGCCGCTTGGAGCTCAGACTCGCGCGGGCCAACGGTTGATGATTGTTTACAAACTTCCTGCATCTTATCCATTCAGAACAGCTGTGGGGACACGAACCCGAAGACCTATGCGAAGCGTACGCTGCTTTCCATGTCACACGGTTGCATCTTGAGCAGTGACCTGCCGAGGGCACAGGACCCCGCTCCCTGGACTCACAGATTTTTTTCTACTGCTTGGGCAGGTGGTTACTGCATGTTCCACATCAGTCAATGCAACTTAGGACAAAACCAACAGGATACAAACACCGAGGAGAGGCTGCTGGGGCCAGCGTTGTCTCCGCCGCAGCCAAAAAAAAAAAAAAATGGATTGGATTTGATTTGATTTTACTTTTTTCCATTCTGTCGATTCTCGGAAGCAGAAAGCATCGCTTTCAAAGTTTGTTTGTCCATGCAAACTATATTTGCATTCTCACATTAGTTAAGCTAAAGCGGCAAAAAGAAACCACACACACACACACACTACACACACTCACACACACACACACACAGTCACTCACTCACATTTAGCCCATGTCATTTAATTGTCAGTTTCTTTGACATAACGCGCATCTTCTCCACATGGGCTTTCCGTGGTTTGGAGATGGGTAGGGGGAAATAATCCGGTTTTTTCCAGGCTGAGGAGGACTTGCTCAGGCCGATTCCAAACATCGTGCTCGTTCAATGCGTAGAAATGATTTGCATGATGGCATGCCGTGATCAGAACTCATGCATGAGATCCATACGCCACAGGACACTACTCTCCTATCCCCTGCATTGGGTCAGCCTCTGGACGGGACCCAGCCCTGCACCGTTCACTGTATCTGGGAGAAAACGGTAAGAGTTCCATCCCGGCTGCAATTTTTTTCTGAGTTCTTAGAAGTCTTTCATACACAGTTGCTGGGTGGGAAAGACCTAACCAATCAATTGACCGCCGCCGCCACCAACAAAAACAAACCCAGTCCAACAAGCAGATGGATCCGTTGCGTGTCCGTGGTTAACAGACTTCTCTCAGACATGCAGCCACTGTTGCACATTTTTTTTTTTTTTTTGCAAGATGAACTAATCAGTACTGCTTTGCGGCCAGTACGTGGGGAGACTCAGATCCCGAATGGCTTGTACCATTAACAACACTGTAAAACCAAATCCTAGGGCTGAAAAGAAAAAAAAAATTTCATTTGTATTTTGCAATATTCACGAGGATTGTTTACCTTTCATATTGAAGAACTGACACATACTTGAGGTAGAGATGAAAGCGCTATGCAGAATAGCTTGTCATCTCTGGGGGCCTTCTGCTGGGGTTGGGGGTGGGGTCACGGTGGGCTCGCTTCATTCGGTATCCTGTCTTCCTGCATCGGGGCTGTCTCCCGGCTCACGGACCCCTGGGGAATCTGTGACCCGGCCTCTCGCTTCTGCAGAGGGGTTGTCACAAGATCACGCCTGCATGATGCCTTCTGCCTCCATTGCTCTTCTCCACCAAGCAGGGCTGCCCTGACCCGCCCAGGTGGGCGAGGGCGGCGGCATGGGGGCGTGGCTGTGGGCTCTTTCCTTAGTGGCTCAGGGCCTGCTCCTGAACCAAGCCTGCTTGGGTTCCTCACTGCACTGGGGTTCCTGAGAAAGCAACCTAGTCGTACGTCTCTAGAATGTTCCAGCTCCTTCTTCCCCCCACCGGGGGCATTCTCTTTCACGCATTTCCCTCCCTGCTTAGCGACCTGCCATTTGTCACTGAGGGTGGCTTCTGGGGGGGAGTATCCCAGCTTGCATTCCATCTCCTGCTGTGTGGAAGTGGGGGTGGGGGGGTCCGAATCCAGTGACTTAGCCCAAAGCCCCTGCAGGCTGCTGTTGGCTGTGTCTGGGGTGGGGGGGAGTCTACCCAGAGACTTGAGTGCAAACAAATTCTTCCCGAATCATCCCACAGAGGGGGAAACAGTCCCACCCCATCTTGGCCACGCACCAACCTGCCTTGTAGTGGAAGCACCTTGGAAGCTACCGCGCAGCCCACCTGGCTAGTTTTGCATAGAACAAACCACGGCCAAGTTAGGACACAGAGCTCCGCATCTTTCAGACCGGCTCTCTTAAGCCTGCTTCTGCAGTGTCGTTAGAATGTTCGTACTACACCCAATACCAACCGGGGAAGGGCATTCTCTCCATGCCCCCGCTAACTGCTAGGACGAATGTATAGTCACGTGTACAGGCTCTTATTGTAAACAGCACAAAACAAGCTGACATGGTAATTCTTTTTTTTAAAAAAAAAGGATTATAAATACTGTAAGATATCATTTTATTTTATTGGCATGCCTTTTTGTAAATACAAAAATGACTAACTTATTAAATAGGAAGTGGCTTCTGGCTTATGCCATTGTCATGTTTATTTTTATTTTTTATACTTTTCTTTCTTCTCAGAACATAGATGCTTATCAGCCGATGTACATCCCCAAACCAGACAGACAGACAAAAAATTTTTTATCGCTAATGGTCTTTTCCAAAATGACATATATATATGTGTATATATATATACACATATATACATATATATATATTTGTTCCAATGTGCAATAAATTGTAACCACTTCTATGCAAGATCTGGCTAAACTCAGTAAATTGTTCTTAGGTTTTGAGATAGACGACAGGGTTCTGTGGTCCTGCTTAGGTACGCCGAGCACTCGCGCCAGCCGTGTCCCGAAGCTGCTGGAGCCTGACCACAACACTTGGGCCTTGCGCACCGACCGCCATCAGCCAGCTTCCTAGGAAAGAAGCCCCCTGCCCCTCCGCTATCTCTGAAGCTTTACTTTTCTTTCTGACTTCTCCCGCCCCCCGCCCCTCCACCTGCTCACTCGCTCACTCACCCACCCATCCCACTCAGCACTTCCTTGGTAGTAACCGACACACCATCACCAGCAGTCTGCACCCGCAGTTAACAGGCACGGAACCAAGAGCAAAAGTGAGGACAGTGTCACACGTCCTCGCTGAGTGGGTCAGCAGCCAATCAGAAGCAGCAGCAGCCGCAGCGTCACCACACACACACACACACACACACACATGCACACACATATAGAGATATATAAATAGAGTATAAATATTTATTTTTTGTAGCCAGGTCCTTGGTGCAGTATTTATACCCCCACAATCCACCTTTTAAAAAAAAGGACAAAAAAGCAAAAAGACGCGTGCAATGCTGTTCATCTTGGATGCAGAGCTAGATGCGTGACTGCTGCCCGCAGGCGCTGGTTTATATGTGGAGACCCTTCCTCCCTCAGCCTCCTGGGGCTTTGAGAGGCTGAGAGCAGGGAGAGGCTCTGGCACCTGCAAGGGGAGGCAAATGCAAACTCCCCCCGAGGGGGCGGGGCAGCCCCTGGAGCGCCAGCACCCAGGGCCCTCTAACTCCTCGCCACGACCAGTGTAGACCGTACCCCCTAGAAGCCAGCACCTCCCTTGCATGAGCAGTGGCCGGAAGCGCATCACTATAGAAGCGAAAAGGAAGCGAAATAAAAACGAGCCTTTTTTCCTGTACAAGGGAAGCCTGTCGTGGTGTTTGTTGTTTGTCCCAATTCTTGGGTCCTGGGAGGGGGTCTGGGAACTGGGACCGTAGCACTCTTGGGGGAACAGGAGTCAGAGGCGTCTCTGCAGACGCCCAGGCCAGAGCTTGGCGGGGAGAAGAGCCAGGTCCTGCCCCTGCCCCCGGGAGCGCACTTCCCACCCCCACTCCATTGCATGCATTTCTCCTGTCTACTGGGCTGGTGCTCCAAGGCCCACCCAAGCCCCCTCCCCCACCATCGGCCGAGAGATGTCAGCCAACCCAGCTGGACTGGCCTTACTTTTTTTGCCTTCTCACCAGAATGTTAGGAGACGCCTGGCAGCCTCCCCTCCACGCCCGCTGACCTGGCCCCCTCCTGGCCACCCCTTCACACTTGCACGGGGGGCGGGGTCCCGGCTCCGGGTCCTCTTCTCCCTCCCCCTGCTGTGGGGACGTCTCTCTCTCTTCGGGCCGTGTCCCCTGGCCCAGAAACACTCTCTCAGGAGGATCTTGTGCCCACTCTAGTCCTGCTCCACGCTGAGAGAGACGGCAGTAGGTCAGGCCCCCTCCTCCCCTTCCTCTTCCTCTTCCCTGGGCTCCCCCCACCCCACCCACAGCCTCCAGGCCTGCTATGGAGGCCAAGCAGCCATTTGTGACTTCAGTCCCAGGCATCTCCAGGCGCGATGCCTCTTTTCTGTTCTCAGATGCTGCCCAAAGTTTTGCAAAAAGCTTCGTTCATTTTCAGGTACCTCCCCCCTTGCCCCCCAAAAGAATGAGCTGCAACCGTCAGCTAGGGGGACATCAGGAGTGAAGAGGAAGCCTGGGGTGGCAGAGGCCCCAGGCCTGCACCGGCGTCGGCCCTGGGCTTCCTAGGATGCCCGCTCCCAGACTGCCAAGATTTCCCCCGTTAGATGCTCCTGAGGCACCCCTGCCCCTGCCCCTCCCCCCTTGCTGTGTGCTGTGCATAGAGGCTCCGTGGGGGTGGGGCGGGCAGCTGTGCACATGTGCTAGTGTGTGTGTGTGTTTGTATGTGAAGAATGCACATAGGTAAAGGGGAGTGTGGCCCAGTGGTTCCAGAAAAGGGACGGAACCGTGTTCTATCCCTGGCTTTTGGCCGCTGGCTCGCTGTGTGGCCTTGGGCAAGTCACTTAACCTCTTCGTGCCTCAGTTGCCCCATCTGTAAAATGGGGGCAATAATACTGACCTACCTCACAGGGGTGTTGTGAGGCTTTACGTCCATGTTTTGTAAAAGCGTTTTTGAGATACAGAGGCCAAGGCACTAGGGAAGGGCAAAGCCTTGTTGGTCTTTGGAAAGATGCAATGGTACCATATATGCTGCTATTCTGAGAGCCATTTAAAACTGCACTGCTCCAACCACCCCCGCTTCTCATCACCAGGACAGCAGGTCGAGAACCGTCTTTCCTTTCACTTGCTTCTGGGCTCTGTCGTTTACTCTAGACACGGAATTCTTCCCCCCCACCCCCGCCCTCCGCTGTATCTCCCGCCCTCACCCCCCCTCGACTTGTTCCCTGTTCTGTTCATGAGGAAATGGCAGAAATCCTTGAGAAATGAGAATGTATCCGTGGATTGGAAGTTTCTAGTCTGAAATTTCAATTTTACTTTGTACTGTACATCTTTTTACTTTAGAATTTGCAATAAAGGGTTACGTCAATCTTGTTTTCAACTCTCCTCTTGGACTGGCCTGTCATTCTGTCCTGGCTGTCACGCCGAGAGCCCCTTGGGCCCTCCCACCCCGAAGGACCACGTGGAGCTCCTCTGTTCCCCCCAACCCCCACCCCCACCCCCGTGGGCTGGGAGCAGAGGGGGTGTGTGCGCGCGTGCGCACTTGGGCTGGCCCTGCCCTCTGCCACTCGCTGCTTGGAGGTGGGCAGAAAAGGCTGGGGGCTTCAGTTAGAATACCAAGAGGCCTGGCCCGCGTGGAGAGGACACCTGGAAGGCAGCAGGCCCCTGGAGTGAGCACCCCTCCTAGGCCCTGCACACTCCAGCAGGGCCTCCGTGTAGACCCCAGCGGAGCTGCAAGTCCCAGGTCCCTGTTGGCATTTCTCCGGCTCCCTTATTGCAAACACACAGTGCTCCCTCGGGACTGCAAATCTGATGGCTTGGGGTTCAAAAAAATCGGACGATGGGGCAGGGGTTCGTTGAAACAGTTAAAAGACCGCCCCTCGGGAAGGCAAGCATCCCATAGGCCAGCGCCTGGGTCACAATCCTCGCTCCGCTGCCAAAATTGCAGCTTCCTCTTCGTGAACATGCGGGGAGGCAGCAGGTGATGGCTCAAGTACTGGGGTCCCTGCCTCCCACAAGGGAGACCTGGATGGAGCTCCTGACTCCCCGCTTCAGTCTGGCCCCGCAGCTGTTGGCATTTGGAGAGTGAACCAGCAAATGGGGAGATACCTCTTGCTCGCTCGCTTTTCAAATAAATAACAGGACTTTTTTTCCAAAGCCAACTGTGCCACCACCTTGCGGTCTCCTTGTGTGAAATGGAGATGCTCTATGGGGCTTCTGGGGTTTTGAAGAGTGCATGAAATGATGGCTGGGACCCCTTAGCACTAGGGCCAAGCACACAATTCCTGCTCAAGAAGCGGCAGCGCTAAGTAGCAGAGAAGAAAGAGGAGCCACGGCTGGCACGCAGCGGGAGGTCTGTCCCCGGCCCTGGGACGCAGGCACCAGAGCTGGGGGCTCGTGGGCTACGCCTCCCACTGCCAGTGAATGGACAAACCGACCGCTCCCTCCGTGCAGTGTTTTGTGACTTTTATAATCCGTGCGAGGATTGCGCTGCCAGTTCACAGTGGAGCGGGCGCCTCTGGCAGCGCTGCAGCCCAAGCCGGGCGTGTCCCGGCCCTACGTCGGGGCGCCCTCAGCAGCGGCTCAGCTTCCCACGAGCCGCGCCCCTCGGCGGGCCTGAGCCGGAAAGCGTCGGGAGGACCCGGGCCGCTGCCCGCCACCCACAGCGTGAGCAGGAGCAGCAGCGCCGCGGTGCCCAGCGCGCCCGCGAAGCCGGTGAGGAGGCCGAGCGCCAGCGGCCCGACCCAGCCCGCGGGGCTGCGCTCGTATGGCGGCTGCGGCAGGCGCTCCAGGATCAGCTCCAGCTCGTCCCAGTTGGGCTCCGAGGAGCGCCGGGAGCGCCGGACCGGGCCGGGCGCCGGGGCAGGTGCGGGGCCGGCGGCCGGGGGCGCGGCGGGGCCCGGCGGCCCCACGTAGCGCTGCCCGAACTTGCGCAACTGCAGCGTCGCCTGCTGGTGGAGGTTCTTGCCCAGCTCCCGAGCCACATCCGGGCGGCCGCAGCGGCGCAGGGCGCGGGCCACGCGGTCCCAGGACAGGGATGGGGCCTGGACAGCCAGCCAGGCCGCCAGCGCCTCCCGGCAGCCGTCCGACACCGCGTCTGGGTCCTCCTGGGCCTCCCGCCGCCGCCGCCACAGCTGGCCCGGCGACCCAGATATGGGCCTCACAGGCCGGGGCCGCGCCAGCCGATCCTCAGAAAGTCGGGCCAGCTCCGCCTCGAAGTCCGGCTCTGGCGCCTGCAGCAGCGACCGGAAGTGGCCGCACTCCTCGGGGGTCAGCAGCTCGGCCAGACGGATGGCCGCATGAGGGCCTATGGCGTCCAGGGCCCCCGCAGGACTCAAGGTCCAGCCCCAGAGCGTCAGAACCAGAGCCGGCGCCGCCATAGCCGGTGGCGGGGACAGATTGTGCGTGCGCTGGCGGGGGGCGGGGGGTTTGCTCCGAATGTCCGCGGTGGGGGAGGGGCCTCGCGCCTCGGATTGTGGCAGGGAGGGGCCTGGAACTCTTGGGGCTGCAGAACAGGGGCAGATCCCGGACACCCAGGGACGGGGAGGGGCGCCCCGAGGAGGGTCTCCCCCAAAGGCAGGAACCGGAGTGAGAGGCTTCTAGACTTGAAACTGAGCAAGTCCCCTTGAGGCGGCGGCACTTAAGCCACCTGCTTGGTTCATCCGCTTCCCACATCCGAGCGCCTGGGTTCAAGTCCCCACTTCCTATCGGGGCTGCCTGCTACTGTGCACCCTGGGAAGTAGCTGGTGGCACCCGTGTGGGAGGAGATTGAGTTTCTGGCTCTTGGTGTCCTTTTGTGAGCATCTGGGGAATGAACCCGCGGATGGGAGCCGTCTCCCGCTCTCTGCCTAATAACTGAGGAAGTCCCCAACGTCTCTTCCAATCCATCTGCCACCCACAGAAGCCTGAATCCTCTGCTCTCCACTACCCTGCATCTCTCGTGTCCCATTCTCCCACACCTGCCTTCCACCTGTCCTCTGGGTACGGGAGGCAGTGCCTCCAGTCCCCCCCACCCCCCCACACACACACTAGGAGCCGGACTGCTTGAGCCGTCAGCTGCTGCCTCTCCAAGCTGGGTATGGAACAGAAGCACTCCAGGGGAGGGTGTAGGTGTCCTAGCTAGCTAGCATCTTAACCAGTAGGCCACATGACTTCCCCCTGGGGGTGTGTGTATTTTTTTTAAAGATTTATTTATTTGAAAGGCAGAGTTACAGAGAGGCAGAGAGAGAGAGAGAGGTCTTCCATACACTGGTTCACTCCCCAAATGGCCACAATGGCCGGAGCTGGGATGATCAGGAGCCAGGAGTTTCTTCTGGGTCTCCCACATGGGTGCAGGGGCCCAAGCACTTGGGCTATCTTCTACTGCTTTCCCAGTCACATTAGCAGGGAGCTAGATCTGAAGTGGAGCAGCCGGGACTCAAACCGGTGCTCATATGGGATGCCGGCACTGCAGGCGGCAGCTTTACCCGCTATGCCACAGCACCAGCCTGGGTTGTATTCTTAAGTGATCTCTCAAGCTTTTCCCATCTGGATTGGGGGCTCTCCAGAAATGGTGGCACGTGCCACCCGTGATGCCTGCACACAGGTAGCGCAAGATAAACCAGAGGGGTGGGAAGCAGGCTGGACCTCCAAGCGCCAGGACTGGGATGGCTGAATGCCCCCACGTCCAGGAACACCCACATTTGTCTGCGAGGGGCAGCTTTGCTGGCTTTGCCTCCCGCAAGCCTGTGCACCTGGGTGTACTGCTCCCCTTGAGCGCTCATGCATTCTCAAGAATTTTGCTTCGAGAAGGAGGCTCCTACCCTAGCAGTTCACACACCCGTGCCTCACAGTCAGAGTGGGTTCCATTCTTGGCCCTGGCTCCGCCCTCCTGCTAATGCAGAGTCTGGGAGGCAGTGGTGATGGCTCAAGTCCCTGTCACCTATGTGGGAGACCTGGATTAAGTTCCTGGCTCCTGGCTTCAGCCCAGCCCAGCTCCTGCTGTTACAGGCACTGGGGACTGAGCTAGCAGATAGACACACACACACACACACCCCGCCCCATTCTCTTCCTAAAGGTTTAGTTAGAGCACTCAGGGGACCTCAGGGAGCTGGGGGCCAAGCCTTTTAAAACCATGAACACAGAACTTTCCCAGCAAAGGTCCCTCATGAATTTTCAGTCTCGTCAGAGGCTGGAGGCTGGGCACTGGTGGATGGTGGGATGGTGGCCCAAGGATCACACGTGAGCTGAAATGCTGGGACGTGGCTGCCCACTGCCTGCCTTCCCTCCATTGCAGGAAGGATGCTCTGATGCCTAAGGGCTACAGCAGGGTCGGGTTCATTCCTCCTCCTCCTCTTCTGCCACCCCCTTTCCTGTGTGTTCACTCACTCACGGCCTTCTTTGCCCCAACACTGCAGCATTCTGGGAGATTGCCCCAGACAGGGCTTCACACCTTGGAGCAAAGAAGTCCCACGGGAACTTTGTGCCCAAGGAACAGAAACACCCGCGGAATCCCTGGCAGACCGGCCTGGGTGCCTAAGCATCCCTCCTCCCCACCCCAGGACTCCCCCCATCGCACGCTCCCCACCCCCACCAAGAAATCCTCCGGAAACCACCTGTCATTGCTTTAATACTGTGTTAATACTTTCTTTTAAAATACAGTCTCTTCTGAGGTAGACCATAACTGCAGAGCATCGTCAGACAGGAGATAAATATGTCCATGTACAACACGCAGCAAAATGAGGTAGAAATGGTTACAGCCGGAGGACAGGTGCCTGACCCTGACTGGGGGGGAAGGAGCAGGCTAGCTAGCAGAGGCCACCCTCCCCCCGCCGGCCCTGGGATTCTTTGGTATGTCCCCCCTCCCCCCAGCCCCCACCAACATTGCCAGAGCTGAACCTGCTCTTTTCCCTACTACCTTGGTGTCTAGGAGGTAGGTACCGGTAGCCTGGGGGCTGTCTCCTTGTGCAAAGTCCCCCAGGCCTGGGGAACAGGAAGAGCCCGGGAGAGCAGCCTGGGTCTTGGTCAGTGAGCCCCTGGCTACCCCCAGAGCCGTCTGCCTCTTGAAGACACGGATCCCAACCCTTCTTCTTGACTGGCTCCGCCCACCCACCCCCTGCGCACGCGCACACACACCTGAGAGAGAATCCCTCGCTCACCGCACGCTCCCTCTGCACCCGGCTGACTCCCGGGAGAGGAGAGGGTTTGGAAGAGACCAAGAGGGAAAAGCAAGCAGCTTTCCTGACAGCGCTCCCGGGCCAGCATGGGCCCTCAGCACCTTGGCACCTGGAATGTCCCCCAGGGACACCCTCCCTGCCAGGACGGGGAGGTGGTAGACTCTGTGGGAGCTCCATGGGCAGTCAGGGGCAAGGGAGAGCGGCTGGGCTGGGGGAGGGAAGAGGAGGCGCCCCCTTGGACCAAAGCTCAGAAGTGTGAAACAGAGTAGGGGTGCCTGCCCGGGTGGCCCGGGGAAGGAGAGGGCTAGGGCTCTCAGAGAAAAGGGCTCCAGGCCTGGGGGAAGTGTGGGCCGGACCGCGGCTGCATCCTGCATGGCGCCAGTCTCTGTCGCACCTGCAGCTCAGAGCCGGGCCTCTGAGGGGCCCAGTGAGGGGTGCACAAGCCCCCCCCCCACCCACACACACAGGGAAGGCAGCTGAGGGCTGGCAGTCTTCCCTGCCCAGGTGACTGGGGGCTCTCTGCTCAGGCAGGGCCCCCGGGTGAGATGGCTTCTCTGGGGACTTTTTGCCTTCACCCCCTTGGCCATTGGGGCCCTCTTAGCCCACTTGCTGGACCAGGAGCAGGCCATGGACAAGGGGTACCCCAACTCTGGATTAACCCTTTCCCAGGAGATACTAGGCTGCGGCAAGGGGTGGGGGGAGCAGCAGGCAGGGAGCAAGCCCCACCCCCTCTGAAGACCACCCGGCAGCCCCCCATACACACCCCTGCCTACCGCCACGGGACTTGGGGAGGAAGCCCTGAGGAATACATTCTGTTTCTGCCCTGGCAGAGCTCCGGGTTTTGCCCTGCCCCTGTCCCAAGCCCGCTACCAGCAGCCAAAGTCCAACATTCTTTCTGAGGTCAGTTTCTTCCTGAGTTGTCAAAAGAAAAACAGCAAACGCTACACATCTTACAAAAATAAGAGGCCTAAAATAAAGAAGCTACATTTCTGGGATTTCTCCTCAAAAAAAAAAAAAAAACAAACAAACAAAACAAAAACAAAACAAAACAAAACAAAAAACTCTTCTTTGGGCTTTGGGTGTGTTTTTGTTTTTTTTTTTTTCTTCCCAGCTGAGTGAGAGATAAGGAGGTGGGAGGAAAGTCTCCCGCCCTCCCCAGTCCCGGGGGCCTCTGGCTCTCCCGGCTCAGGGACAGTCAGAACCAGGGGGCCAGGGACAGCGGCAGAGGCGCGGGAGAGACACCGCAACAAGGCGCAAGAGAAACAGGGCCAGCGACAAAGCGACTGCAGCGAAAGCGGAGGAGTGCAGGGTGCCATTTTGCAGGAGGCAAAAAGGAATTGTGGCGGGGGGGGGGGGGGGGAGAGTGCCGGCCCCGTGCGGGTCCGCCCCATCGCCTGCGGAGATGGTGAGCCTCCCTTCCACAATAAATAGGAAAGAAAAAACAAAAACAAAAACAAAAACCTGAGTACACAGCGCATCTGGCATCTGGACCTGCCTGGAAGAAGCGTCCTCCTTCCCCCAAAAATGAAATCCACCCGCAAAGCACCCCCCATCCCCAGCCCACTTTGGCCAACGGCTTTCCCCGCAAGCGGCGGCGGCGCCCGCGGTCCTCCGCGCGCGCCTTCAGTGTCCGGAGCCGTACATCTTGTCCCACTCCACGAACGAGTCCAGTTCCTTCGGGGAGGCCCGGGGGCCCACCTTGGCTAGCGCCGCCTCCAAGTCCTTGTAGGAAAGGGGGCGCTGCAGCCCCGCCAGGCCCGTTCCGGCCGCCGCCTGCTGGCACAGCTGCCCCAGCTCGGCCCCGGAGAAGCCCTGCGTGCCCTGCACCAGGGCCGCGAGCTCCCGCTCGCTCAGCGCGCAACCCTGCTGGGCCAGCGACCGCCGCAGAATCTGCCCGCGGGCTGGGCCGTCGGGCAGCGCCACGTAGAAGCGGAGCGCGAAGCGCCGGCGGGTGGCCTCGTCCAGGGCGGCGGGCCGCGCGGTGGTGCCCACCACCAGCACGCCGTCGGCCCCCGCGCCGCAGCCGCCGTCCAGGCAGGCCAGCAGCGGAGCCTGCAGCGCGCCGTCGTCGCGGGCGGCCAGCAGCGCGTCCAGCTCGGTTGAGCAAGCGGCACCCCGGGGGGGGCGGCAAGGGGGGGGCGCGAAAGCGGCCTGGAAGGAGGCGCGCCGCCCTCGCGGGCCGGCGGGCCAGCTTCCCCCCCGCAGCCGCAGCAGCGTCGCGCCCAGCTGCGTGGCCAGGCAGCGGCCCAGCAGCGCCTTGCCTGCGCCGCGCGGCCCGAAGAGCAGCACGGTCCGCGGCGGGCGCGGGCTGCCCGGGTAGGCGGGCGGCCTCAGCAGGGGCCACACCAGCTCCTCCTCCAGCGCCGCCTTGAGCGCGCCCTGGCCCGCTACGTCTGCCCACTGCACCGGCGGGCCGCAGTCCAGCATCTTGCTCGTCACCAGCTCCAGCGCGCTCTGGTCCACGCCGTTGGGAGGCTCCCCCGACGGCACCGCGAAGCCGCCGCGGGGAGCCGGCGCCGGGGCCCGCTCTGGAAACTTATCGAAGGGCTCGAGCTGGGGGCCGTAGGCCGGGGAGCCCAGAACCTTCAGCGGGACGCCGCCGCCGTACTTCCCCGACGCTTCCTCCGCGGCTCCCGGCGGCTTGGCCCGGAACCCGTTGCCCCGACATTCGCCGTTGTCCGCGGCGGGGTAGGGGGCGCCGTCGGCCGCGGGGGCTTTGGCGGGCTCGTACGCGTACTTGCGGTAGCGGCCGTCCGCGCCCTCGTCGGCAGCCTTGCGCTTCAGCGACACTCCGGCCTCGGCGCCGGGAGCAGCCGCCTGGAAGCCATAGGAAGCGGGCGCCGGCCGCGGCGGCGCGGGCGCGGGCAGGGGCGTGGGCGCAGCGAGGCCGGGGGTCAGGTAGGGAGCCGGGGGCGCGGCCGGGGGCGGCGGGAGGGCGCCGTAGCCGGGCTGCGCCGCGTAGCCGCCCGCGGGATAGTTGTAGAGCGGCCCCGAGGGGCCGTACCCCGGCGGCGGCGGCGGCGGCGGGGGCTGCAGCAGCGCGGCCGGGGGCGGCGGGGGTAGCGTGGCCCCGGTCTGCGTGCAGTAACCGGGCGCCAGGTACCCGCCGCCGTAGCCGGCCGCGTACTCGGGCGCCGCCGACGTGGCCCCGCAGGCGTTGCCGGCGTACAGGGGTTCAGGCAAGTTCCCCGCTAAAACCGGGGAGCCCGCGAGGCCCCCGGTACCGCCCGCACCGCCCGACTTGGTTCCCGGGAGGCCCTCGTGGAGCGAAGCCAAAGGATAGGGCGGCTCGGGCCCCGGCCAGGGCTCAGGGTCCGCCTTGGCGCCGTTGAGGAAGGCGGCGTCGCCGTAGCCGCCCAGGGTGGGGCGCTCGTAGGGCGAGTCCAGGACCCCCGAGTACTTCTCTGCGTAACGTTTGAGAAGGTTGGAGGCAGTGAGAGCGGAGATGTCGTCGTGCGCCCAGGCGTAGTGGCAGCGCTGGCGACCCCCCGGAGGCAGCTCCAGCTTGTGAGCCGGCGACGGCGTGGTGGAGGAGACGTCCAGGTGCTGCTCTGGCCACTGGTTGAGGGGCTGGGCGTGCTCCTGTGTCCAGTGCATCTTTGACAGAGCTGCAGGTGAGAGAGAAGGGGGGGGGGCGCGACGGTTGAGAGCCAGCAGAGGCCTCTGGGAACCCGACTCCACTGACCGGCAGCCCCCGCCAGCCTCCTACCCTCGCACGCTTGACACCAAAGCCCCCTTCTACCCCGGGATTTAAATGAGCTCCAAATACTGCCCTCAGAGCCAAGGGAAGCCTCCAAAGGATACGGCCAACAGCTGAACTCGCCCTTCCCCCTCCTGGTGTCCAGGAGGTCGGTGCCAGTAGCCTGGGGGCTGTGTCCACCTTGATCTCGAAGGCAGTGGTTATGATTTTGTCAAAGACGAGTGCCCGGGGTTCCTGACCCTCCGGCTGGAACTCCCACATGCCCTCTTCCCAGTGGCGGCCCCTGAGAATCCAAAGCCCCCTTTGGGCCCCAGGTCGGAAATGCTCCCTGCGTGTGCCTCTCAGCCTCACGGTCCCTGACAACCCGCTGTGGTTGACCCAAAAGTCCCTTCACTTCCTCTCCATGCGGTGTCTGGGCCTCTGCCTGGTGAAGTTGGAGCGCCCCGGGGTTCCACCCCCCACCAACAACGGCACCATAATGGCTGTGTGCCCAGGGCGGGTACCTGCCGGCTGCTTCATTCCCCAAATGCATCTCGCCACAGTACACAAGTATTACTCAGGCCCTATTGCGGAGAAAACAGGGTCACACGATCACAGACTGCGGGTCACAAATTTCTGAGTTTCCCAGAAACCAGACGAATGTGGGATTAGGCTCACTTTGTGATGTTAAAAAAAATTTTTTTTGCTCAAAAGAAGCAAAAAGGGGGCTGGCACTGTGGCACAGCAGGTGAAGCCACCACCTGCCATGCCAGCATCCCACATGGGCACTGGTTCAAGTCCCGGCTCTTCCAATTCTGATCCAGCTCCCTGTTAATGGCCTGGGAAAGGCAGCAGAAAATGGCCCAAGTGCTTGGGTCCTTGCAACCAGGTGAGAGACCTGGAGGAAGCTCCTGGCTGCTGGCTTCGGATCAGCCCAGCCATGACCTTTGTGGCCATTTGGGGAGTGAACCAACGGATGGAAGACCTGTCTCCCTTCCTCTCTCCAATCTGCCCTTCAAATAAATAAATAAATAAAGCCACTGCCTGCAGTGCCATTATCCCATGTGGGCACCACTTCCAGACCTGGCTGTTCCACTTCCGATCCAGCTCTCTACTCGTGCACCTGGGAAGACAGAAGATGGCCCAAGTCCTCGGACCCCTGTACCCATGTGGGAGACCCGGATGAAGCTCCTGACTTTGGCCTGACCCAACCCTGGCTATTGTGACCATTTGGGGAGTGAACCAGCAGATGGAAGATTCATTCATTCTCTCTGTCTGCCTCTGTAACTGCCTTTAAAATTGGGGGGAGAGGAAGGGGAGGGGGCGGGAGGTATGAGTCAAACTCTGCTAAAACAGACCCAGGGCCTGGGGACCAGCACTGCCCCAGCATATGGCTCCAGTGGGCCGGCCCGATCCTAGAACAAAATCTCTTTTTTTTTTTTTTTTTTTTTTTTTTGACAGGCAGAGTGGACAGTGAGAGAGAGAGACAGAGAGAAAGGTCTTCCTTTGCCGTTGGTTCACCCTCCAATGGCCGCCGCGGCCGGCGCACAGCACTGATCCGATGGCAGGAGCCAAGAGCCAGGTGCTTTTCCCGGTCTCCCATGGGGTGCAGGGCCCAAGCACCTGGGCCATCCTCCACTGCACTCCCTGGCCACAGCAGAGAGCTGGCCTGGAAGAGGGGCAACCGGGACAGAATCCGGCGCCCCGACCGGGACTAGAACCCGGTGTGCCGGCGCCGCTAGGCGGAGGATTAGCCTAGTGAGCCGCGGTGCCGGCCCAAAATCTCAAAAAACTAAAAGGGCCCACGGTGTGCCAAGAGACAAGTATTTTTGCTGTGGATTATTTCTCAGACTTAAGCTTCTGATGAGTTACTGAACAGGTTTGGGCATTCTCACAATCTAGGCAAATTTTTATTGAGTAAATCCCGAGTGCTTTGCTAACCATGAATGGGCTGTTTCAGCCAGGTGGGAGAGATCCCTGTGAGGCGACATCCCTATCTAAAGCGGGGACATAGGCATGTGTGCCTGGGGCTCTGCGCTCTGGCCAGCATGCCACACCTGGTTAGAAGGCCTCACCGTGGAGGTGGCAGCTTTATGAGAAGATGAGTGAGAGTGAGGGGCCGAGCTGACTAGGCAGGCTAGAGGCAGCAGGGTATCCCAGATCACAGGCACAGCACCTCCAAGGGTGTGGAGCACAAGACACTCAGAAAGCCAGGACCAGGGCTGGCATTTGAACGCTTGTGTCACCGGCCTCCCACATCAGAGTTCCTGGGTTCAAGCCTGCTTGGACCATCCAGCTTCCTGCCCATGTACACCCTGGGAAGCAGCAGCAATGGCTCAAGTACTTAGGTCCCTGCCACCCATGTGGGAGACCTGAATTCAGTTCGTTGGGTCTGCCCGGCCCCGGCTGTCACAGGCATGAGGAGTAAACCATCAGGTTGAAGAGTTAGAGAGGAGAGGCAGAGAGAGAGGTCTTCCATCTGCTGGTTCCACTCCCCAGTTGGCCACAATGGTCGGAGCGGCGCCGATCTGAAGCCAGGAGCCAGGAGCTTCTTCTGGGTCTCCCACACAGGTACAGGGGCCCAAGGACTTGGGCCATCTTCTACTGTTTTCCCAGGCCACAGCAGAGAGCTGAATTGGAAGTGGAGCAGTAGGGACTTGAAATGGTGCCCACATGGGATGCTGGCACTGCAGGCGGCGGCTTTACTCACTACATCACAACACTAGCTCCATCTCATACATTTTTTTTTAAAAAAAAGCAAGTCAGGGGCCGGCGCTGCGCTCATTAGGCGCCTGCGGTGCTGGTACTCTGGGTTCTAGTCCCAGTTGCTCCTCTTCCAGTCCAGCTCTCTGCTGTGGCCCAGGAGGGCAGTGGAGGATGGCCCAGGTGCCTGGGCCCTGCACCCACGTGGGAGACCAGGAGGGGGCACCTGGCTCCTGGCTTCAGATCGGCGCAGTGCACTGGCCGTAGAGGTCATTTGGGGGGTGAACCAACAGAAGGAAGCCTTTCTCTCTGTCTCTCTCTCTCACTGTTTTAACTCTGCCTGTCAAAAAATAAATAAATAAAAATAAAATAAATAAAAATAAAATAAAAAGCAAGTCAGGGCAGCGCCCTTTCTCAAGGTGCTTTACTGCCACCCTCTGGACAACCGTCATAATACATAATACATAATGAGTATGGTATGATTTGTACCCCCTTAGAAGTAGAGCAGGTTAAGCCACCAACTGGGGTGTCCACATTCCATGTCAGAGCGCCAGTTTGAGTCCTGGCCCCTCCTCTTCCAATCCAGCTCCCTGCTACTAAACACCCTGGGAAGCAGCAGGTGATGGCCCAAGTACCTGGGCCTCTCCCACCCACGTGGGAGACCAGGATGGAGTTCCAGGCTCCTGGCTCCAGCCAGACCCAGCCCTGGCTGCTTTAGGCACCTGAGGAATGAACCAGAAGATGTAAGATCTTTGTCTCTCTTCCTTTCCAATACATTAAAAATGAAAAGATTTAGAGCAGATAAATTAGTGAAAGGCAGATTCTCCTGTACTGGTCAAAGCCTCAGATTGTCTTAGGAAAGGAAAAAAAATGAGGGCTGGCACTGTGGCACAGTGGTTTGAAGCCCCGGCCTGAAGCATCCACATCCCATATGGACGCCGGTTCGAGTCCCGGCTGCTCCACTTCCCATCCAGCTCTCTGCTATGGCATGGGAAAGCAGTAGAAGATGGCCCAAGTCCTTGGGCCTCTGGACCCATGTGGGAGACCCACAGGAAGCTCCTGGCTCCTGCCTTCAGACTGGCTCAGCTCCCGCTGTTGCGGTCATTTAGGGAGTGAACCAGCGGTGGAAGACCATTCTCTCTCTGTAATGCTTTCAAATAAATAAAAATAAATCCTTTATTTAAAAAATGAAGCAGCAGAGCTCCTGGGCAGTGCACAGCCTACAGAACCACACCTGTGGGACCGTGGGGAGCACCCAGACATGCCGGACCCCCAGAGCTTTGAGCAGGGGTAGAGAAGAGGCTGGAGCTCACCCAGCGTCCTCTCTGGGGCAGAAGACAGGCTCTGAAAATAAACCCAATGTCGTTGTCACCGCCCTAGGGAAGGTGGAAGTCGGTGCAGCCTCCCTCCAGAGGCACGAGGGCGCACAGCTGAGAGTGGTCTGGGGGCAGCTCTCGCCCACAGGGCCCCTGAGATGGGCAGCATTACTCGGTAATTTCCTGTAACTTCAAGGTCACAAGTGGCTGTGGCAGGATCACGGGAGGTAAGCGTTGTATTGCTGCATGGACCCTAGCCGGTTTGGGATTTGGGTTTTGTTTGTTTGTTTGTTTCCTATTTACCGGTATCTCTGCCTTGGCTCCTTCCCATAGAGGGAAGAGAGTTGGCTTTGGTGCCAGGGAGAAGCAACCCCGTGCCGAAAGGCGTGGACTTTGGGGAATAATGCGCTGCGTGTGTCCAAGCAGCTGGAGGACAGGACCCCAAGGGCAACTTCGGGGACAGGTGGACGTCCCCCTTCCACTGCGTATGTGGGTGTCAGCACGCCACGTGCGCCCAAGACATGGGTGATTTGGGACCAACTTACATCATGACTGCTTTGAATTATGATTTTAAAATAAAAAAAAGCCTCTGGATCTAGACGTATCCACACACATCTCCTCCAGGCCCCACCGGCCGCTCTGGTCCTCCTGGTTGCTGTCACATGGTATCCTCGGTCCCTCGTACCCTGAGGCCCTGGGCCGAGCTCCCTCAGACCCTGGCCCCCATGGTCCTCCCTAAAAAGCCTCACCCTCAGACCAACCTCAGGGCCCCTGCTGCGTGCTGGGGATGGTGGGTCCCTTGAGTCCTCCTCCACACCTGCACCCCAACTCCATGCCACCCCCTCCTTTCACCCCTGGATTCAGCCCCTTCCCCAGTGGGACCTTGCCCGGGACGCTTCATCGACCACTTGATGGCTAACCCTCAGCCTCCTCGGATACCGGCCCTTCCACTTTGGGGAACTCTCTTCCCATTTCAGCCAGGAAAGAAAAAAAAATGCAGCCATTGCGTGGCTCTCCCTCACCTCGGGCCCTGATTTCACCTTGCCATCCCTGCTGGACCTCAGGCTGGCAGCTGGCGCCCGCGTGAGCTCCCCCTCTTCTCTTAGCACGGCTCAGCTTTTCCCGCCTTCCAGATACCGCCCTGGACCCAGTCCCTCCCTCCCGCCCCCCAGCAGCCAGCCCCCTGCTCCCCTTCTGCGCTGCTCCTGGGGCGTCGGGCCCTGCCTGCAGCAATGCGCCCTCTGCTGGCGGGCCTCCCCTGTTCTACCCGCGAGCAAGGCAGCCGAAGGCGATCCTGGAGCCTGTAGGACTCTCACCCCCTCCTTCCGGGACGGATCGCAGCCGCCCCAGGACCAGGCTCCACAGGATGGCAGGAGGAGAGCAGAAGTGTGAGGCGAACACAGGTGAGGCTGCAGTGGGGCCCAGAATGCTGCTCACACGAGCCCAGACGCACACCAGCTTGCTGGCGTGCGCACAGCACACACAGCCTCCAGAGGGTCGGTGGAGCCTGCTGTCTCCCCGCCCTGTCCCCAGGCCGGCCACAGGCCACAGTCCTGCTATCACACAGACAGCACCCCCAACCATTCCAGCTCCTGCCCGAGCCTGCAGGAAAGAGCCCCTGCCCCAGTCCCCCAGAGCACCTGCCCCCTCCCTTCCAGGTTCCCGGGCCACACCCAGTCCCCTGGGAATCAGCTCTGACGGCCGGAGACCTGGTCTTCATGGAGGCCTGGGCTCTGTGTGACCCATGGTGCTGGCCCTCATCCAGCCTGTTTCTCCATCCAGTAAAGGACACATAGAGTGGTTTTAAGGGTTAAAATGTTGGGAAGCCAGTGCTGTAGCATATCGGGTAAAGCTGCTGCCTGCAGTGCCAGCAACCCAAATGGGCGCCAGTTCAAGTCCCGGCTGCTCCACTTCCTGATCCAGCTCTCTGCTGTGTCCTAGGAAAGCAGTGGAAGATGGCCCAAGTCCTTGGGCCCCACACCCGCATGGGAGACCTGGAAGAAGCTCCTGGCTCCTGGCTTCAGATCGGCGCAGCTCCAGCCATCTGGGGAGTGGAACCAGCAGATGGAAGAACTGCCTGTCTGTCTGTCTGTGACTCTGCTTCTCAAATAAGTAAATAAAACATTTTTAAAAGTAAAAAAAAAATGTCGGTGAAGTACACAGTCCAGCATCCACTAAGAGCCCACCCAGTAACCCGTGCTGCCAGTGACTCAGCATGTCTGTCACACCCCCCCTCCCTGGGAGAAGGGAGCTGGAACATTCTCTGCCAGTGTTTCCAGGCAATGGAGACATGGCACACTGGTCTTTGTGCCTTTCCCCAGCACTCAAGCCATGGAAGCCA